AGGTCCAGTTTCTTGGTTATAGTGTAATAGAATGGTATCCTCAACCACGCTTTCAAGCCCAAATTGCCTCGATGCTTGGTCGATGAACGTCCAAAGGCTCTCGCCTTCCCATCCAACGTTAAGTGCAAACTTAACCACTCTCTCAAGAGCATTCACTCGACTCCGTTGCTCCGGGACATTGCTCAGCACGTACAGGCAGAAGCTCCAGCCCGATATATCGCGTGGATTAGCCAAGCACCAAGCAACCACCCGTTCGAGAACCGACTGCGCTGAATGGTCTTCCCACGTTGGTTGCCCAGTCGTCTTCTCCACCGTAGCAGCGAGAAGCACGTCCAACTGTCGCATATAGCTGAAAGCGTAATAGTTCTTGGGATGCAGCTCTCCAGCGCGAAGAACAACATCCAGTTCTGTCCGTTGCAGCTTGAGCAGATCCTCAGAACTCCAATGCCGTCTTTGAAGCAGATGGACAACCACCCACAGCCGGTGGTGCCAGAGCGTCGGCGACTTGGTATGGCGATGGAGTGGTGAGCACTGGTAGCTCGACATGAGGGAAAGTTCGGCTTCTAACAACTCCGTTGCGGTAGAGGTCTGGTTTGAAATACCAGGGCAATGCGTCATGGCTGCCTGCAGTCGGCGCTTGCGCCAGTTGCAGGCTGTGAGATGCTCGCAGTCGAAGAGGAGCATAACTTCTGTAATAGCTGAGTCTGCATTTCGAGTCTGGGCGTCTATCGGAAAGGAGGTTTGGAGATCATCTTCGGACATGAGCATTAATCGGTCGAAGAAAAGCTGGCGCGCGACCGTGAAGGCCTGCACTAGTGCTTTCTTGGTTATTCCTAGTGAGCATCCATCCTGGAGGAATGTAGCGCCTAGGCTTGGTGGGATTATCTCGACCTCGAGGACTTGGTTGTCTCTATATGAGAAGATGCGGACAAGTTCCTGGAATGCATCCTTCGGGTTGGACATTTGAGGGTTTGGTTGTTTGGTGGAAATTGGGAGGAATAATCGTCAAGGCCTCATCATATGTAACTTGTTTCTTTTAAAATAATTCCGTATTTTATTTGTCCTGTCACAGGCAAAGCGGTAGACAAGATGGTGTAGAGCCGTGATACAGTGAAGGCGGAAAGGCCAAGTCCGCTGTTATTTCCACCTTCCCACAACCAGGGACGTCATTCACTCCTTCAACCAGCAACCAACATCTCAAATATCTTGCCAGGCCATTTCCTGTCTCTCCCAGCAGAGTTACCAGACACTCGCTTGGTCAGCCGACTGTGCCGCCGTCGCATTCTTCCAGGCTCCCCGAGCCTGCGCCGTCGCATCCAACGCCTCTTGCCAGCCCCCGCCACGATGTTGTCCCTCGTCCTCACAGTCTTCTTCGTGCACATCGCAATTTACCTGGTCAATACGATCGGTGCGAGTACCATTGACGGTCTTGTATGTGTCCAACAATCCCATTTGTGGCCGTTGAGAAGCTTCCCAGCTCCGCGGCGCACCTCTGTTGTGATTCCACACGCTAACACCTACTCGCTTTGGCATACAGTTATGGCTACTTTACCTAAGACTGCCGACGCCGACCTCGCGGGCTGCACGCAAGCAGCAACAGCTGAAGCGCCAAGTCCTCGAGCAGAAGCACGTAATGAACAGCACAAGCTCCCAGGATGAGTTTGCGAAGTGGGCGAAGGCTAGGAGACGACACGACAAGACCTTGGAGGAATACGAGGCGCTGAGTACGTGTCACTGCCATAAGGCTACAGGAGACGCTGTTATATGTTTCTCAGGCTGCTAACACGCTGGTCTTTCTACAGACAAGTCGCTCACCGCACAGAAATCCTCCTTCGACTGGACCGTGAAGATCGCCCGCTGGCTCAGCACAAACGGGTTGAAGATGTTCCTGCAGTTCTGGTACTCGAAGACACCTGTCTTCCCGCTCCCCGAGGCCTGGTTCCCGTACTACGTTCAATGGATTGTGTCCTTCCCTCGCGCCCCGCTGGGATCCGTCAGCATCCATGTTTGGAGCAATGTCTGTGCGACTACCATTGCGCTCGCCGCCGAGATTGTGGGAGCATTGCTAGTGCAGGTGGTTGGCCAGAAGAAGGTACAGAAGGAGGCTGCGCCTGTCGGTGCTGAGGGTAAGGCAGAGTGAACGCGAAAGCATGGGCTTAGCTATATTGCATGGGGACCGGTTGTATTATACGAAGTGAAATGCTACGATTTACTTACGAATATTGCATTTTAATCATTCATTTCAATTGCATTGGTATTCGAACTGCTAGGGGAAAAGAAAAACTAGCTATATAGATAATGTTCATCAGATAATTTTAAATCGTTTATCGTCAACGATCCCTTGGGATCTCTGTGCTTGACTCTATGATTGGTATATCATCACGCGAACAAGAAAAAATAAAAGCCTATGGCAAGATAGAAGAGTCCGGCCCCTATGACAGGGCTTCTGCGATGAGACAATATCTCATCACCGCTTTGCCATAAGCTACAGACTCCTGAAAAGAAAAGACCATGGAACTCCTCGCCTCAAGAATGAGCCCCATTGAGTTACCTCCATCGACTTCCGAGGAAGCAGAGAGGAGGCAATCGCATGACTATCCGAACATGACGAAAGGCAACCCAATACAAGGAAAGATGTTTTACCACCAATCCTTCCCCCCTCCAATACCCAACACACACCCTATTGTTTCCAGAGACATCGTGAAATGTAACCGTCGGGTGGCACGGGATACCGTGAGGGAATAGGGCGTAAGCCGCTATCGAATTGCTTCTATGGCGGCGCGTTTCCGCAGTGCCTGGCTTGGTACTTTGGTTTTACCCAAAGCGCAGGGTGTCCGGGGACTTTCTCCCAAAGCAAAATTGGAAAAGGGAGCGAGGCTTCCTTTTGTGTGTGAGCTTTGAATGCGATTCTTTGAGCGAGGAGTTGGGAGAAGAAAAGGAAGTGGAATCTTCGGGCCGTGGCTTTTATTTTTCTCGCGCTAGTCAGGTGATGGGGCTAGACTTGGTTGGGACTAGCGTGAAATGACATTTAGGTTAGGGCTTGCGATGTTTCGGAGGCAACATAGAAGTAAAGCATTAGACAAAAACACTAGGAAAAATGTTGGGGTTCTTTTCGCTGTTACAAGAAATACAAGTAGACACACAGAGACCGAGATAATATTCCGGAGGGGAGAAGAAGACCCTATTAACCTGAGGGATCCCTATCAACCACTGCCATTTGTTCATCCTGATCTAGGCTTTAAATAGTACTAAAGGAAATTTACTGATGAAGGGAGAAAAAAAAACACAATGCATTTGACAAAAAGGCTTGATGAATGAAATTACAAACAATTTTTACATGATCCCGTTTACGCCTTGGACTTGGTCTTGGTGGCCTTCTTAGTGACCTTTCCCTTCGCCTTGGTTGTAGGGGACTTAGCAGCAGGGGACTTAGCAGCCGGTGACTCTGTAGCAGCGGCCTTGGGTGTCTCTGTCTTCTTGCCCTTCTTGGCCTTCTTGGGGGTATCATCGGTAGGAGCAGGAGCCTCAATAGCAGCAGGGGCCTCAACAGGGGCAGAGGCCTCGACGGCCTTGGCAGGCTCCTCGGTGGCAGCCTCGGTGGTCTCAGTGGCCTCGACAGCCTTGGGGGCCTCCTGGACGGGGACATCATCGACACTCTTCAGCTGGGGAAGATCAAGCTCGTAACCCAGAGCCTTGAGCTTGTTGACCTTAGCCTGTCTCTTCTTCTGCTCGGACTCGATGCTCTTCGACCACTGATCACGTGTCTTGCCCTTCGCGAGACGCTTCTTCTCGATCCGGTTCCATGGCGTAACCTTGAAGCGGCGGTTGGCGCCCTTCCAAACCTCGGGGTGCAGCTGCTCTTTGGGAACGTACTTGCACTTGACGATGTGGCCGTACATAAGGTAGTTGTCCATAGTGTCAGCGACAATCTTAGCGACGGTAGTCGAGGAGAATTCAATGAAGGCGTAGTGCTTGGAGCGGCCGGTGAGACGGTTACGCGAGAGACGGAGTTTGGTGATTTCGCCGAATTGGGAGAAGTAGGCCTTCATCTGGTGCTCGTAGAAACCGTGGGGGATACGTCTGAAGATGGGATGTTAGATGGGTCGGGCTAGTCAGAAATTACGGTCGAAACTTACCCAATATAGACAGTTCCGGGCTCCTCGGGAGGACCGTTCTTGCGCAGCTGCTTGGCGAGCTTGCGCTCAGCCTTCTTGGTGTCCGGGGCCTTGGGGATGGGTTCACCCTCTTTGTAACCCTCACCATCGGACTCGTCCTCGTCACCGCTGCTCTCGAAGCCCTTAATGAGGGCCTCAGTCTGGTCATCATCACCCTCGTTCTCAGCCTCGCTTTCATCAGCGGGGGACACATCCTCCTCGGCCTCCTCCTCTTCGGACTCGACAACGGGCTCGGGCTTCTTGGTCTTGGGGGCGGCCTTCTTCGCGGCAGCCTTCTTGGGAGCGGGGGTGGCCTCAGCCTCCTCCTTCTTGGACTTCTTAGCGGCGGGCTTCTTCTCGGCCTTCTTGTCAGCCTTCACAGGTGCGACAGGCTCTTCGGCCTCCTCGTCGGTAAGGAAGTCGGCAGCACGCTTGCGAGGCTTGACCTGACGTGTGGGCTCGCCATTGGTCTTGGCCGGCGCAGCAGCCTTCTCTGTCTTGGACTTGGTACCCTTCTCGTTCTTCTTCAGGATAGACTTAGGAGCAGCCTCCTTGGTTGCCTCAGCGGGCTTGGCCTCGGCCTTCTTGGTTTTTTTTGGCGGGCGAGTCGGCGGCGACAGGCGCAGCTGTAGCAGTGTTAGTGAGATGAAAAGAAATTCCACCGGTCATAAACTTTTCACATACCCTTGCGCTTTGAGACTCTCTTATCAGGGGCCATTTTGACGTTTTGTTGTGTCGAATTGGGAGACTCTATGTTGCTCGATCATCTGCGGGAAACTTTTTTTCATCTCTGATTTGCTTGGAAGGCGGTGAGCCACCTCGACCATTACCACCGTCACTGCCAAGATGTTTACTTACTACCACCCAAAATACTCCAACCCCAAATGGGCCAAGAAAATGGGGAAGACTAAAAAAGGACCCTTGTCACACGCGCAGGTCTGGGATGATTCTGCCTTGGTTCAGTCCTGGGACGATGCTGTCGAAGAATACCAGGTCAGTCGCCAAATATGCGATTCACGTGACCGATATCTAACCTGACGGCAGCATTATTGGAGCATTCACACCAAGGGTGAAAATGTTGAAGATGTCTTGAAAGAAGCAGAAGACACTGGTATTACTCCAGCTGTATCTCACGACGACACTGAAGGCGCTAAAGCCACCGATGATGGTGTCACCAAACCTGCAGATGCAGACATCCCAATGACCATTGACGACCACACTTCCGAATCTGCTCCAGAGGTATATTGCCATTTTATTGATGTGTTCTTTATCAAAGGATTTACTGACGAAGGATAGCCTTCTCAACCCGTGGCTCATGCCAGTTCGGCAGATTCCACTCCTGCTATGCCTATGCCGCACCCCATCATGGCAAATGGTATGCTCCTCCTTCGAGATATGTTGATTCAGGTACCTAACATATACTTCTAGTCCAAGACGAGTCCTTGAAGAACCTCATGATGTCGTGGTACTATGCAGGCTACTACACGGGTCTTCATGAAGGCCAACAACAAGCGACCCGTTCCTCGAGCTCATGATGCGACTACGGCTTAGAGTGAAAGGGAATGTGTCTTGTTGTTCGAATGAGCAAATTCGCGGAAACGGTTCTACGAAGGACAGGTTGAGAAACAAGATCCTGCAGACAAACCGATGGAAATAATCATATCAAATTAATCGTGAAACTTGACAAGGATCTGCTTGACCATCCCCCTTGTAAACATGAGTAAATAACGAAAATAAAGATCAATCAACCAGCATCCGCCGAAAGAGAACTGCGTTCACCCCATATTCCACAACACCTTCATATCCAGTCTCCTATTTAACGGGCTCAATGTTTGGTCAATCAGATATTGGCTCCGGTACCACCGAGAAGACCACCGATGATGGGAATGCTGCCCAAGGCGTTAGGTGCAGATGTGGGCTTGTGGGTGGGGGGTAGCAGTTGGGGTCACAAAATTGCCGGAGGAAAGCTTGTTGGTAGGGGTTGGAGTCGGAGTCGGCTTGCCAGAAGCCGAACTCTGCTCAGCCAGCTTCGAATAGGCCTTGGCCTCGGCCTTTTGGCCTCTTCCTTCAGGGCTGCCTTCTTGTCCGCTTTTTCCTTTTTGCTGTCCTTGTCAAATCCATCCATCAACTTGGTGGCTTGCTGGATTCATGGGTTAATATGGTACAGGCCATGGGGAATTTGGAACAGTTAACTAACAACCAAATCGCCAATAGGACCATCGAGTCCAAGCGGTTGACTGGCGGCTTTCTCATCACGCTTGGTGGGCATGGAGAGAGTGAGGACCGCAAGGACGAGGAAAATAGAGAGGAATGAGAGACTGAATCGGGCCATTGTGAATGGTGGTGTATGTTAACAAGGATATAGATCAAGGAAAAGAATATGTCCAAATAATTGTCTCCAAACGAGTGTAAATGGTAATAGTTTAGGGAAATGAATGAATGGTGCAAATGGACAGGTCGTTGGGAGAAACAGAGCCCCTGGCTCTGCGGGAGTTACATCGGATTTATATGAGCCCCTTCGGTCATATCATGGAGAGAATGGAAGGCCAAGGGGGCTAGGGTGGAGAGCCTTGTTGCAAGCCCTGGCTGCAACTAACCAACGCGCCTTTGCGAGGTATTTGGATTCCCTTCTGGGATAAAACAACATAGTATTACCGTGTTATTTTATGTGCCCTTTAACTATGTCCAATGGCTGTTTAGGGGGAGAAAGATTTGATTCATTCACCCATAAATTGGCATGGGCGTTAACGCCTCCCATCTCGAAGTATATCCGTTGCAGCTAATGATTGGCTTGGATAAATAAGGGATATTCAACGACAGTGAATCAGTAAATAACAGCAAGGAAAGGTGACCAAGGTTATGTGGACCACGCCTCATGATAAATCGACCCGCATTCCATGTTGATACGTTGGAGTGGTAAGGATCATATACTCATGCATAACCCTCCATCATCCCAGCCATACGTGAGCGCTTATCAGTTTTCATGCGGGCTTTAACCAACCAAGTCCTGAGGAACTGTTCAGGTTTCATGGTCTTACTTTAATAATTTCCGGTCATCCGACTACTCAAAATGCAGGAACAAGATTCCCGCAGGGATGGAAACGCAGGTCTTCGACCAAGGGTTGTTGCAAGTCCCTAGCAAGGACTTATGTGCGATGCAGATCTACAGCATGCCACAACGATAGGGCATTCTTCGTTTTTTTCCTCCGATATCACGAGGCAGCGGTTCTGTCGAAAGCCACTGGTGGAATAACCATTCACATTTATGGTTGTTTACAAGGAATGTATCTCCCTACTTTGACACGCACAGCCCCATAGAGGGAGCGGACGTAACACGAGGGAGTCTCCAGAAGGACGTATCCAACTGTGAGGGCTTAGTTTTGGCATCTTTTTGACCTCAAACATCAAGATATGACGGACAAGACTTCGAAGATGCCAATGTGGTTTACATCTATCTAGCTGTGTGGGGTGAGTTAATAATAATAAAAAAGCGCGAATATGATCATCCCTGTCTGGAGGAAATGACCATGTAAGTTGCAGGACGAGTGCCTCGCAGGGGTTGAAACCCAAGCATTGAGAGTTCAGTACCAGCCGAAGCTGGTACCCTGCGAGTAAACACAGATTCCAAAAGCATCAAACTCTGCAAGACTAAATCGCAAGATTCATATCAATACATGATTTGGGGATGTTGGCTCAAAAGCGAACCCGTTCCCCTCTGGCTGAATGTCAGGGGGCGGGATTAGAACGAGCATTCTTCGGTCTGGGTCCCTAAGCTAAAATATGTAGATAGAGTGAGATTTTTCCATCGACAAGAGTGTGTTGGGGACCGTGTATATGTTTTGAAGTGAAGAAAGAAAGGAAAAGAGAAAGCCGCTCGCAAAATTTTATTCGATGGGGCCAGTAGCGCGGATTATGTCATATGGTCACGTGCCTCTTGGCCTCCAGCCTCTTTTTTCCTACCGACGCCATTTCTCTACGTAGGTAGTTTCATTTTTAATGTAACTAACCTCATAAATCGTATCATAAATGTCGTTTTTGTTCTAATTGTTCTAATTCTGGGAAGTATCGCGAAATTCTTCGAAATTTGAGATAGATATTTCAGAGAAAACTTTTTAAGGTGCAGTGAGTGCGTGAAATATATATCAAACATAGTTTTAACGACTGGAACAACGAATTGAGAATTAAAAAGAGGTTCGCAATATTTCCTTGTTACCCTTTATGACATCTTTATGTTTCTCTACTAGTGAAAATGAGAAAGGGAGCCATTCAACCTGCAAAGCTCATTCCGTATCCTCAACTGGACGAGAAAGCCGGCCCCGCGGTACCCACGCTGGAGCCGGAGTGAAGAACCACGAGATGAGCGCGAAGATAGTGGCAATACCCAGGATAATTGGCGCATCTAAGTATATATTAGCACAAAGCCTCTTCCAATGACCGCTAATAGCAGACGACACCTACAATTTAGAGTGGAGGCTTCAACGGGAAATAAATATGGTGAGAAGAGGACCGCGGCAACCCAGCCATTCCACAAAACCGAGATGAACTGGAATGACCTGCTTAGTCGCCCGAGAGACCATTTTGCCTCAAGCTTTTCACTGGAGGTTAAAGTCAACCTTCCAAGACCAATGAGTCCGTAGGCAGCAGCTGAAGGAACACCCGCAGCTGAGACCAGAGAAGTAAATGCCACCGCGGACGGCAGGATAGTGCAGGTAATAACTGCGGCGACGCCCCATACAACAAGGACTGCGTTCCTAGGCTGACCCTCCGCAGAGACCCGTGATACCCATCCAGATAATGGAAGTACTCCATCACGGGCGACGGCGAAAACCAGACGGGAGGCTGCTGTGATGGCAATGGCGGTATTCTAGATAGGTTAGTATATCCTCTTACAGGCAAACTATCTAAATAGATAAGGGTTTTCCTTTTGGTTTTAGGGAGTTTAAGAGCAAAAGAAAACATACCAGCCATAGAGCTACAACCGAGAGCACATTCATAACAATATGTCCACCCTCGTCCAGAAGTGCGATATACAAGGGCACAAAAGGTTGGGGTGCGTTATATGAGAAGAGGACGTCGATTGGCGGCTGCCAAATTGTTAGTTTCTTTCCCATAGAAGAGAAGTTCCTGGAAAAACCTACAAAAAGAATAAGATCACGGCAGAGAAGCCAAGAACTCCACTGACAGCTATACTCCAGAAGATACCCTTTGCGGCATTGACAGCGGCATTCTTAGTCTCTTCGGCGACATGACCCGAGGCATCAAATCCGATCAGAATACCAGCTGTCGCCAAATATGAAAGACACCAGTTTCAACCGGCCGGGGCTCCCGTTCCGTTATATGTAGTCAGGAATGCTTCACTGGCGGTCCGCATGCCGAAGGTATTGTGCGCACCGATTGGAAGCCAAACGACGTTCAATATGAAGTCCAGAAAGACAGCACCGGTCGAGAACCAAAAGACATATTTGAGCTGTAAATTGAAATTAGCCTTATTGTCAAAAAGTGCAACTGTGGGCGAAGATTAAGAGATGATAATGTCTGTGTAGGCCACCGTACCAGATGCGAGGTTCATTAATGCGGCTAAAGCCAAGAGAACCTCGGTGCATATCCATTGCACAGCATGGAACTTGATATTTGAGACATCGGTAGGAAAGTTGATATCAAAGACAGTCATTTCCTAAGCCGAGTTAGTTTAGAGATAATACTATTAGATAAATAACACAATACCCACCGAAAGCATGTAGTTTACAGCTGACTGGGTATTGCCTATCATCGTAAATCAGCTAATCTAGAAATGGATAAAAAATAACACCCGTGGGACTTACTGGCACAGAATGTTGTCCAGGCTGTTGTGCTCCACCAGGCCACAATGAAGCCAAATAGTCGCCCAAACCTTTTACCACCTGCTTCCGCAGCCCATAGATAAATTGAACCAGCAGATGGAGAAGCCGAGCACGCCTCTGCAATAACAGCTGCTGTGATGAATGTAAACACACAGGTTACAATATAAGTCGTCCTAATATAAATGTTAATAAGGCTACCTTTGTTGCCCTTACATCGAGTTTTGAATCATACCAATAAGCTAATGGTACTCCAGCTGCGATACCTGTTTTAAATGTCACTCGGACACCACCGACAGAATACAGGGCAGCTGATTGAAAGGGTTAATGACCAGGAGCCGGACCCCACATAGTGAGAGGAAAAAGAGCAATATACACCGAACGAAGTTGAGAAGTTCTCAAATAGTGAGTAACTGCGATGAAGAACCTATGTCAACAAGCTTCAAGTCAGCGTACAATTCTCGAACAGAAGATATATATCATTCCACTCCCTTATTTGTATTCTAGACGCTCCTATGAAACTCGAAGATGTCAATTCGTGCCATATCTTTGTTGCACTTGAACGATACCATACCAATGTATTTTCATCACTGGCATTCACCTCCTGCGCCAGGGAATCTTCAGGATTCTTAAGGTCTGCCATATAGTGAGGTGGGACGGATATAATTTCGATATAGAGAGGCCTGTCAAACATTTCATATCCACCGAGTCAAATCTCTGGGACTTCACGTACTTGGTTTTGGATTTGATATAATATATGGGCTGTAAATAGATAAATCCATCGGTCGACCTGACCCATTGAACGATTTGGAACATCAACTGCGGAATCGGCTTTATAAATTAGATGAAACCACTTCCCGATATAGTGCTTATAATAGAGGTTGTCGGGTTGTCACTATAGACGTAGAAACACCCACCAAATGCCGTTAATGTTAAATAGAAATGAAGACCATAACAACAATGGGTAAGGGTAACCATGCCAAGCGTTTAATACACCTGCCGTATTGGGCGCTTGGCACGGCCGAGTTCAAATCCATGTCCATCCACACCCAAAACCTATCGGTAGTTCTGTAGATCCCGTAGATCCCGCAGATCCTGCAGATCTTGTGAATAGGGGGTGATATTAACACCTAAGGCATCAACATTCCCGCATGTTCCGAAATATCTGAAATATCAGTTTGGAGGCAAAAAGGAGAGAAGAAGACATATATAATTGCATTGAATATACAAAATGGGCCGAAAAGTACGAAGATTATTTATTCAACTAATCTTCTTTCTCTGCATTCTCCTTTGCATCTTATACCTAAACCGCCCGCAATCAACCAAGGCGAAACTCTTTGCCTGGACCAAAATTCGCTACAAAACAACCTTATCCATCATCCCGGAAGCCCGTGGAGCCTGCCCCGGTCTATCAGAAACAACGAAACCAGCCCTGATAGTCTCACATGTCTCCACAGATGGCGACCCATCCTGGCTAGAACCCCTCCGCACCAAGTACCATGTATGCATATACGAAGTGGACGCGCCAGCAGACAAAACCTCCAAACTACTCCAAGTCCCCGCAAACCGCGGACATGAAGCAATGGCCTACTTAACCTTCCTAATCGACAACTACGCGGACATACCATCCGCCGGCGCAGTCTTCGTGCATGGCAGCCGCTGGGCTTGGCACAATGACATCCCAGACCACGACAACGCTGCCCTCCTACGCAGCCTGGACGTCCGCGCCGCGCTGAAACCAGCCGGGTATAGCAACCTGCGCTGCGACTGGAGTGGCGGAACGTGTCCTTCTTCCGTGTCGGCGCAGGGCAGTCTCAAGGTGAGACTGTCGAGCGCTGTGTCGCCGTGGAATCCGCGCTCGGCATCGGATATGGCGCTGCCAAAGGCACTGGGCCATATATTTGGCGGGGATGCTGATGCACGTGTCGAAGAGATTCGTAATGCTTTCCATCTTCGGCTTGGTCGGAATGATGCCGTGCGCGCGCAGTGCTGTGCGCAGTTTGTTGTTTCCCGTGAGCGGATCTGGCAGCATGGTCGGGATGAGTATATTGCGCTTCGGCAGTGGTTGCTCGATGGGAGTGACGATGGAGTTGCTCGGAATGTCCAGCGGGGGGTCTAGGGCTGCGCCTGGTGATGACCGTGTGGCTGCTCGGATTGTCTCGTATCTTTGGCATATTATTTTTGCGAACTATGGGGATGATGGGGGAGTTGATCTTGATCGCTTGAATCGCGATGCTTGTCCTAGTGCTTCTGAGTGCTATTGTCGGTTGTATGGCAAGTGCGATTTGTAACGTCGGGGCCCGGGGAGTTAGCTGTAAAGGGCAGTATTCTGTGCCGAAAGACTACCAGCTCCCTGAGGATTGGAAAAAGACGCATCCATGATTCACGATTTATTTTGTGGTTTTGAAACTTGTTTATATAATGGGCCTAGAACATTTTGGGCATATAGACTGGGATAGATTGGGACGCATTGTGAGAAAAATAGGATATCGAGTCATTTCAAGTCTGGTTGATAGAGTTATGTACAAATTGTTTAGCCGAGATAATATTCACCTGCTCCTCTAGAATCTGGCAACGACTCGCTCTTGGGTGTCTGACAGGGCATACTGAGAGCTGTGCGTCTTACTCACGACGGACTTGGCCTGCTCGGCAGTGAAGCCCTTGGCCTCTACAGCTGGGTTGTAGCCCAGACCGTTGATCTTTCCAACAACGTCTGAAGACACAGCAGCGGCGACCTTGCCATCAGTACGCTTGTAGACGGTTACAACAACGGCACCACCCAGACCAAGGTTGTGTTGCAGTGCCGCGGAAGTACCGTCAATCAGGCGGTTGTTAGCCCAGCCACGCAAGTGCCAGACCAACTCAGCACATTGGGCAATACCCGTAGCACCAAGGGGGTGACCCTTGGAGATGAGACCGCCAGATGGGTTGATAACCATCTTTCCGCCGTAGGTGATATCGCCACGGCGGACCATTTCATGGGCCTGACCGGGCTCACACAGTTCCAGTGCATCGATGGTAATCATCTCATTGGCCGAGAAGCAATCGTGCAGCTCGCAGACCTTGATATCCTTGACATTCACCCCGGCCTCGGCCGCCGCAGTGCGGCACGCCTGGCGCGACATGCCGAAACCCATTAGGTCAATGGAGCTCTGGCTGTAGACTGTGTCGGTATCGGTGGCGAGGCACTGACCGGCAATGAGAATGGCATGTTCCTTCAGATGTGGTCGCGCGTCGAGGAAGTCCTGCGAGACAATAACAGCGGCAGCACCGCCATCCGAGGTTGGGCAACACTGCAGCTTGGTCAGAGGCTCGTGGATCATGGGTGCCTTCATAATCTGCTCGAGGGTGTATTCGGTTTGGAATTGCGAGTAGGGGTTGCGCTTGGAGTGCTCGTGGTTGATGCGGGCGATCTCGGCGAAGTCCTCATTCTTAGCACCGTACCTGTTTTTCGCATGTTAGCATTGGTATCCCCCTTTTTATGGGTCGATATCATCTCGAGAGGCTACATACTTCTCCTTATATTCCACACCCGCGTTTCCAAACATCTGTGCGGCACCGGGCGCGTTCGTCACACCCCGTGTCTCGGCCATCATCGTTCCAAACAGTCCTGTTGGGTTCTCGCGATCGTTGTACATGGATTGCAAGCTACCAGGGTTCATCTTCTCGAAGCCAACGACCAGCACACAGTCTGCTGCACCGTGAGAAACCAAGGTACGGCCCATGGCGAGACCAGTCGAACCAGTCGAACAGTTGTTGTTGACGTTGTATATAGGGATGCTGGTCTGACCGAACTGGTAGAAGACGCGCTGGCCGCATGTGCTGTCGCCATACACGTAGCATGCTACACCCTGGTCAACTTCGTCGTAGTTGATCTTCGCGTCGAGCATGGCTTTGATGCCGGCCTCATAGCCTAGCTCATGGTAGTCGACCTTGCCGCGTGGCTTGATAAACTTGGTCATTCCAACGCCTAGGACATAGGCGGGGGTTCCTTGCTTTTTTCCCATGTTGTACGAGTTGTATTATGGTTAGGGACGAAGAGAAGTGAGTTTGGTATATGTTCGACTCAAGAAGCGAGGCCCTATAAATACGAATTAGCGGCTTCGGATGTGGGGGAGGTCAACGTGAAATTGCGGGGAGAGGCCGAGGTCCCGAGGAACCATGCGGCACAATTTTGTTCACATAATGTCAACATCAACAACATCAACATCAACAATATCAACAATGTTGAGATCATCGGGGTTGAAAATAATCTGCCAGGGGGTTCTGACAAGAGAGGAACAACATATGTTTGATTGAGCTTGGGTCTCACATGAAAAAAATGGCCGGGACGTACAAGACAATCACAGGGTGACTACTCCGTGCAATCAACCTCTTCAACAATTCATAATCCAGTTGGTTTGGTAGCACAGTTGGAACCAGGCATCGTTGATCTTGCATCCAATTGTAGAAGTCTATGGACATTGTTCTATAAGCCACATTCCAGCTAACTAATCTGACTTCCAACCTTCTCAAGGGAGTCATTGTAGTGTCACATTGCATCCTACTACAACACTATTTCCACACTGAGGAGTCGTTCTGGTGGTCTACTGAAGTGGCATGAGGCATATCCGCATATTCAAACTGTTGTTCCCACTCTCTACTCCATACAAGGTCAGGAATAAGGAAGCTGACAATCATGTGGAGCCGGATTGTTGCTTAATGATGATTTACAGCATCTCACTATCACACACACAAGTAGTGTCTGGAATCTCAGTTTGCAATCCTTTCATGGGTTCGATGGATGCGATAATTGGTGGGTGGTAATGAGCGCAATCCATGCGTGGCGGCCCTACTTGATGACGGAGTACTGTCCTCCACATATATTGTAGATATCACTATGATCCGCGGTCTAACCTTCTGTGATTAGGTTCAAAGTTTGCTTTGCATACTCCACATCATAAGGTATTTCCTGTCTCTGCATGAAATATATAAATGTAGAAATGTATAACTAACTAGAGAAGACAACAAGATCAGACCGCGACCGGCAGATGTGCCACGGCGGTGAAGAGATTAGAGATAGATAGTGCGATCAATTTCCAAATAGAATAATAACATTTCCCAATATGTATTTCCAATCATCTACTTCTTATATTTGTAAAAAATTGAAAATAAATAAAACCCGGGGAGTAAGCACTAAGAAGCCCTGGAGATGTTCACTTGTTCTCCGCTCTGGATGTTCACGAAGACGTCACTCTGGTTGGCCCTAAACCGCTTTGAGCGCCGAAGTTAAGCCCGGCCCACATGCTATTTTACTGCACTTCTCTCTTTCTTTTCTTCATATAGCTTTAGCTCACCTTTTTATCTGGTGAGATACTGTGGGAATATAGTAAGTTGTTCTTGTTGAACTGAGAAACCATCTTTTTGGTCTTATTATCGAGAATCGAGAAACGTGAGGAAAAGCAAATTGATACTAATGGTCGTCTTCGTCTTCCCACAGCCCCCGATCACAATCAGTAACCCATTGCTATAGACGATACATCTTGGGCAAGAAGATCCCGACTGTCTGGAACAGGGGACTCTCCCAGAACATCACTTGAACCGCTCAATCCCGCACTATACCTCCTAGATCCCTATTCGTGAACGCGGGGTTGCATCCTTCCTGTGGCTGTAATTGTTTCGGCCACCAATCCCGCACCTATCCTTATAATTTGCAAAGACGGATCTATACGTGCCAATATACACTGCGAGAGTCTCCCGGGATACTTTCCAACAGAGCGGAAGATAGATCTGGGTTGGTCGGGCCCATTTAATGGACAATTGTGGGACGCTGAACGGTCTACTCGAGTTTTGAGAGACCGCTTTGCGTTCCATCGGGTTCCCCAGCCTGCAAGTATAAGAGTTTGTGCAGAATACTACGTTCTGTCACGACTGGACCGGAGAGATATTTACTATAGCTATTCCGCGCCGCCGCCAATGGAGAACGTTCGGAGATGACTAGTGACAACAGTTCTGAACATGCACCATCACCCTCGGCAACTCACCACACAAGAACCACCATCATGCCAGATCGCAAAGCTTGGAACATGGATGAGGCTACACGCAATAGACTCCTCAAAAAGTACAAAACCCAGGTGGCTTCGGGGGCGTCAACCATTTGCGCGACGCTAGCGGTGGTGAGTGCCTCATTCCCCGGGACATTGCTTGATATCCTTACCCCTCGCCTTTTGTCACTATAATATCACATGCAAACGATGCTAATTCGTCGGAATTTGCTGGGCAGACTCCTTTAGAGAACGTCAAGACTCGGATGCAGACGTGAGTATTCTACGCAATGTTGGAGATGGGAACTGGCGTGCTAATTGGTTTAAAAGACACAATTTCAAGAACGTATGGCAGTGTGTTCGCTATCTCTGGCGCACCGAAGGGCCTCGAGGATATGTAGCTGGTAAGTCGGTATCCATGAGTCGGCAGCGGAAGGGTCGACTGACCATCACATAGGCGCGCTTCCACCCTTGGCGAGCGTCACGGTAGTCCGTGTCGTCAACTTTACCGTGTACAATGCCTTCAAGGACATAATCGCCGATAACGTCGAGCGTGTAACTGGTTTCAATCCTTTGGAACATTATAAAAAGCCTGGAAGCACCCCCACCGTGACGGGTATTCTTACTTTCACCACTGCAGGCCTCATCGCTGGCTTGGTGTCATCGCCTATTGCTTGTATGTTCATATTGGTTATATGCACGGACCGGAGGAGACAGGCTAACATTGAAACAGGCCCCTTCGAGTTGGCAAAGAATGTCGTCCAAACCTCTGTTCTAGTGTCGAACCGCGCGATGGCTGCCCCGGACGCAGCCCGAGACCAATCTTTGCGTCGCAAGCCCCGCTTGGGGACTATCCAAGCCATCAAGAAGATCTACATACGACATGGATTCTGGGGCCTTTACACCGGGTTCCGCTTGCATGCATTGCGTGACACTGTGGGCTCAGGACTGTACTTCAGTGTTTACGAGACTGTCAAGCAAGTAGCAGCCAAGGAGTTGGGTCAGGACAAGAACCCCTTCGGGGCACCTATGATTGCCGGTGCCATTTGCAGCACTGTACCCTGGTTCTGCGTATGTGATCAGACCGATACGCCATTTTACGACGAACATACACTAACGTGGCTCATAGACTTACCCTCTCGATACGCGCAAGACTCGTGCCCAGAGTGTGCTGCTAGGAAAATCAAGTGAGATTGGCGAGGCCTCAAAAGCTGTCGCCAAATCCAGCATGTACAAGGGCCTATCCATCATTCTTATCCGGACCGGCGTCAACAACATGATCCTGCTCAGCATTTTCGAATACATTAGAATGCGCATCGATGAGCTGCCGAAGGAAACCATCTATTGATAGGGCCACGGTGATTACGTTGGGAAGAATGGTGGTCCACCCTTTGAACATTTTCTTTGCCATTGTACCTTGAACAGCGAGGTCTTTTCTCGTATTTATTATCCATATACATACATGGATGAGCTTGAGGCTCATTTTCAGCAAATAGCAAATGGATTATCTAACTTTGAAGCGACATGCAACAAAGGAAAAAAATTAAACAAATGGTCGCAATCTTCGCAGCGCTAGGGTCACTTCATAATCGGCAGCATCCTCCCGGCCATATAGTCTGAATGCCACTTGCAACCTCTTTGCCCAGGTTTTCTGTTCCATAGCTAGCCCAACAATGCCCTGGTTGCTTTCTGACTTGAACAATTGCACCGTTTTGTCTAAGCTCGGTCTTAACCTTGCGTCCATAAAAGCATCTAACAATCCCTCTTCTTCGAGAAAGAAAATTGACAGGAGGGCATAAAGGAATCTAGATGAAAGAGTTATGCTGAAAGTCTCTGCGACAAACCTCTGTGTACAGTCAAAAATAATAGGATGCGAACACTGTCTCTGCCCATCCAAGTCCACACCACGAGCAAGATATTGGAGCCCTCGAATCAATCGCCGTCGCAGATCACTAAGTTGTTGAAAGGGGGTGCCTGGTAGACAGGCCACGCAACGGCAGGTAAAACGCAGAGCTTGATGACGCTCATATCTGGTCCTGCATTCGAAATCTGTATTATAACAGAAATTGATTTCCTCGCCAACGCGTATATCCCTAGTCGCAAAGGTTGAAATGATCTCTCCACTAACAGTTGGAACCTTCGAGTTGGGTATACAAGAATGGTTGAAGCGCGAGTGAAGGGGAAAGAGACCATGAGCTTCAGGCTCGTCGCGGTCTGAATTCGCGATGTTGAACGAGTTTTCAGCGAAAGCTTCATTCATACTTGTACAACGGCTTGTTCCGTTATTGCGGAGGAGTAAAAACTGTGCTCTTTGGCTAGGCGACAATTCCTGAAAGGCCATAGTAACGTGGTAGTCCGTGAGTTCGGTATGCGATTTCCGGATAATGAAGGTTGGCTTTTCGCTCAGAATCAGGGATCCCCGGTCAATGTGTTTTGTGGCGAAAGCACCCCATCCTTTGCCTGGCGAGGGTCTCAGCTCGAATGGTACTTCGGCAGGAACTTCGAGGCGGTGGTATGCTAGCAGATAGTAAGTCAGATGCATTCTCAAGCTACTGAGCAGGGTAACAGGGTAACGTACGATGACCTGCGGAGATGGCAGTGTGGTCGAAGTTGTGGGTTGTCATAACAGGACCGGACTTAGGCCGAGTTGGAGAACAGAGAAAAGTAGAGAATAGTACATAAGAATAAGTTAAATAAATAGAAGGCGACACGATAGCTCTATTGAATCGGCGGGGAAAGCGGCTATCTATAGGTCAGGGGAGGCCTGGCAGGGTACATTTGCAGGGATCAAATATCGATCACGATAATAATAATGCCCAACAAAGCATAAGGACGAGCCCAAATGGTATAGCGTATCAATTACTATTCTTGTTGTGGAGCAGCTGAATCGTTTGCACCTGGACGGTTGGTAAGGGGGGGGTGGGAGCACCCCCTTTTTGTCTAACATATTAGCGTCATGATCTCGCCGGCTCAGATCACAATGTCTTAAATTCACTACCTTAGGGGTATATAAGGGAACATTCCAAGAGTTTGGAAAGGCTGTAGTCACATTAACTGCTCTTGGCCTAGGCGGAAATAGCACAAAGAGAAGTGACTGTACCATCAGTCCCTAGCTACATAGATCATCCTCTACATCCATGTAGGAAGGATCCTTATTATCATCATTTCGGCTTGCACTTTACATTCTATCTGCCTAATCTTACAGATATGATAGACAGATTTCTCATGTTTCGCAATACTGCTCGCCCCCTTTCCCGGTACTTAGTCACGCAAGGTTCTTGCCCAGGTGGACTCGTCATTTTCATGAGACCAGCACAGATTTCATCACCCAAGACACAACAGGCACCTTGGTCTCAAAGAATATTCCCGTTGTTATCAGGGAACCCGCACCAGGTTATGTGTTGATTTACCCAGCCGTTGGAGAAGCCTTTCGTGATCCCAGCTCTACGGCGGCGACGCAAGACCGATGTAAGCTGTCATTTTTCGATAACACGCAACATTTTGGCCTCAGTCAGACACTTCCACTTGTAGGTAGACCATGCGTTGACCAAGGATGTGTTTCATTCTAGAATAACTGAGTTATCCTCGTCTCTATGTCCAGGCCAATTTCTCCTCCAATCGGAATCTAACACAAGCCCTGCGACCATTTTTCTGAGCGGAAAGATGTATGAGATTGTCATAGATGGGACATAGAATGGTACAGTTTTGACTCCTGCCAAGGAAATCCAGCACTAATACGTAGGCAGCCGAAATTTCCGAACACTCGAGCGCTTCTGGGCAGGACCTGAAGCCCGTCCCTGATCAACTGGGGCATATGTGAACGGAGTCCACTGGCACATGGACTTCGATTGCTTCAAGCAGTATTTAGTCTAACATATGAATAAAAGGTCTAGTACAATCCAGAATCCTGGTAGGAATTCCAATCGATTATCCCTGGTTTTACATAGAAAGGCCCTCTATACGGGTTAGGCTTGATACTGCATCCGAGAATTGTACATAGATGATGACCACGATTTGTCTAGTCCGCCCACTTATGCGATTATTAACATTACGGGTGGCACTTTTATAGCTAATGACTATTCTTCTGGCAATAACACCGAGAAGAAAGAATCCAAAAGACATCCAAAAAGAACACCAAAAAAAGACAGCAGACTATTATCTTACATATAGTGTCAGACATGCGCTGCTAGCTTATAATTACAGGAAGGACACTGCCTTCGGCATGCTATTAAAGCTAAGTAAGGGCGACGTAGTACTATATGACCTCACGTATCAACTATGTCAGCGAGACAGACTGACAGCTGTTCAACGGTCCAATTATTAGGAACCACTACAACATATGCTTCTGCGAGGCCCTCGTGTGCGCATCCTCTGCAAATTGAACCCTCTAAAGATAGTGGCCATTGACCCTCGGAAATATATTGGTTGCTAACAGGGCAGTGCGTTTGTTCCCGTCCAGGAACGCCTGGTTCTTCATGGTCCGCTCACTCAGGATCGCGTCCAGCTGAAACACATCGTAATCCTTCTCATAGTGGATTTCTTTTCCACCGTCATATTTACTGGTCCTTGCTATACTAGCTCTGCTGTCCCTTCGTAGTTTTTTTGTTTTGTTTTGTTTTCCCCCTGTATACAGGATGCTCTCAGATAGCCTGACTGCTGACTGTCACACAACAAGCAATTCCGATATTCAATGCCTACATCGTGTCGTTATTTAATTATGTACTCGCACTATACACCTTCTCAGCAAAGCTAACTGTTCAAATGTAACTTCTCTCATTTCCCTGTGGCTTAAATTTTCCCTAGGCAAAAGATCGATATGGATGGTGTCCAAATCCCCAGAGTGCCAAGAGATAGATACATCAGGAACTAACGACGACCATAACTTTAGCTAATTTTTAGACCCTAATTGGAATGGTCTCCCCAAGACTCGCGGTGTTCGCACGATTTTCTATATCATCAATTAGATTCGCCATGCCATATAGCTACCCTTGCCATGTTTGAGATCTGAAGTTATCGGACGGGGTGACATGTGCTCGAATTTACTATAAAATATATCTTCAAGGGTCTCGATATTGCGTATCACGTCGGTCTTCATTCAAAATTGAAAATGGCTCAGCTACTAAGAAGCCTCACTGTAAGTTATGTCGCCCAGCAATGCATTTTCGAGGATCAAGACACTAGCCGTCACAGAATAAATGGCCATGTAGGGCCTATGTCATTTGGGTATGCCATAGTTGAGTCTTTCCTCAGTATTTTGCAACCCCTTTTAATATAGCACAGTCAACTCTCCGACAATTCTTCGATTTTAATGAGGTGTAACTGTACATTATATAGGAAGGTCTCAACTGATGCCTCAGGCCATCAAACGTCATTCCGTTGCCCGGTGGGGTTGAACTTCCCGTCAAAACAAACGGAGTCTTCAAAACCCCGCCTCGAGCGACTATGGCGTCGTGAGTACTCCCAGCTGTATGCGAGAAGTCGCGAGAAAAGAGGAAGCCGACTGACTTGTTCTTCTGTTTCATTCCTTTAGTAATATTCTTCAACTCCCGTTCCGGCGCTCCCATTCTGTCTCGCTTTCCGAAGCAATCACCCAGTACATCTCTTCCAAATATGACCAGCGCCCGGATATGTTCGCTGAAGATCTGATGATCATTGATCGTCTACGATCTGAGGCTGTAAATGTCCAGGAACCGCATTTTAGTGGTGTCAGCCGCTTGGTCACGTATGCGGCTCAGCTAAAATGGCTGAGCGGAAAGTTCCCAATTGATGTGCGCCGTTATTTCTAGGTTCTGGTTACTTTATTTGGAATTGGAAGCTGACGGCCGACATTATATATAGGTCGGAGTGGAATTTTCGTGGTATCCGGCTTTTGGCTTTAATGCTTCGCGGCCAGGTAAGTTGGTTTCTTGGGGTCACATCCTCCGTACGGGCCATATTTGGTGAATATGACACTAATAAGAATACACATGACCTCTAGTCTCACAAAATAACCTGCGCTTCGAACTAGCCAATGTCTTATTCAATCTCGCGGCATTATACTCCCAGCTTGCTTATGCCACCAACCGGACTACCGCAGATGGACTCAAGCAGGCGTGTAACTACCTCTGCTCGGCTGCTGGAGTCTTGAGCCATCTCCGCGCCGATATTATCCCAGAACTTCGAACGTCGCCGCCCGAGGACATGGACGAAATGACACTGCAGAGTTTGGAACTTCTTTTGCTCGGACAGGGCCAGGAGTGCTTCTGGCAGAAAGCTGTCAAGGATGGATTGAAAGATGTGTCTATTGCTAAATTGGCAGCAAAGGTGTCCGACTTCTACGGCGACGCAGGTGAATTGGCTGTCAAGTCTAATGCAATCAGCACGGATTGGATCCACCACATGACTGCAAAGAATCACCACTTTGCAGCTGCAGCTCAGTTCCGACAGGCGCTTGACTGCCTGGAGAAACGCAAGTATGGAGAAGAGGTTGCTCGGCTGCGCGATTGCTTGGTCTGTGTTGATGAAGGACTGAAAGAGCAGCGGTGGATCAATCGAACTGTACTGGGTGACTTAACTGGATTGAAGAGCCGTGTCGCGGAAGACCTCAAGCGCGCCGAGAAGGATAATGATATCATTTATATCAACCCTGTGCCACCCAAGTCTGAGCTCAAGTCTATCGAGCGTGCCAGTATGGTTCTTGCCAAGGCACCTTCGCAGGTTACGGACGCGATTTCTATGCTTGGTGATAATGGACCGCTGGGCCAGCCGCTTTTCTCGAAGTTGGTCCCATATGCAGTTCACATTGCCGCCAGTATTTACACCGATCGTCGGGACCGACTGGTCAATGATACTCTCATCGGAGAGCTGGAGTCCATGACCGACAAGTTGCGAGAGTATGTATTCAAAGACAATTCCAAAATTCGCAAGGGAAATCCTACTGACATCAGGTTCAAGCTTGCTTTCTTCCCTCAATTTACCAGGGTCATTGCAAGCGCTCGAAAAACCATTAGGTCTCCCCCAATGCTTGTGTCACATGCAGAGGAAATACGCCAACAGGATGGCCTGAATCGCCTGCACCGGTCTATCGAAGATACCGCCAGAGTCAAAGGCAATGATCTGGGTGTGTATAGCGAAGGCGTTGAGCTTCTCTCGGCTGAGAAGGCCGAGGACCTTGCAGCTCGCCATAAATACGGTACCGACCGCTGGACCCGCGGGACCTCAGAATCCGCCGCGCCTAAGCTCTACAAGAGTTTGACCGAAATCGATGGCTATTTCACCTCCGCCCAGGGCAGCGATGACCTCGTCCAGCGCAAGCTGCGAGATTCACGGTCTGTCTTCCTTGTTCTCACTGGCACAAATCGGGACTTGGAATCCTTTGTGCCTAGCAGCCGGAGGGTTGTGATTCAACCAGAGGTTGAGCGCGAGGCCAACCGGTTGCGCGGTTGTTTGAGCGAGGTAACCCGAATGGAGAATCGGCGGAGGCGGCGAATTCAAGCATTGAAGGACAAAGCTCGTGCGGATGATATTCGTAGGTGTTTTGTTTTTCCTTGGTCTTGAAATCTACTAATGTATTGCATTTAGACCCGGCACTTTTGACACAGACAGCTCGACTGGAGCGGGAATTCCCCATGCAGCCTATCCAGGCAAGCCAGTTCGAGGATTTGTTCGAAGACCAGCTGAAGCTATATGATTCGGACCGCGAGATGCTCGCCCAGGAACGGAGAGAGCAAGATCATCTTTCGGACCAGGTCCGAGAAGCTAACCGGGCATTTACTGGTTCTCATAAGGGCGACGCATCGACAAAGGAACGAGAAGCGGCACTGCAGGACCTGGAAAATGGATACTTGAAGTATAAGGAGATCATTTCCAACCTCGATGTCGGGCGAAAGTTTTACAATGATCTTGCAAAAATTGTAGCTCGATTCCGCGACGACGCGAAGGCTTTTGTCCACCAGCGTCGGATGGAAGCCAGCCAGCTGGAAGTGTATGTGTTATCACCCCCCATTAAACTAACGGATTATCGTTGACGTGAATTTTCGCGGATCTAGAGATATCTCCAATGCCACAGCGATGGCCTCCCTGCACATTTCTCAGCCACACCTGCGCCAACAACCCCAGGAATCAGGTCGAATCCACCACCCTCCCTCTGCCTACTCAGCTGCCCAGCCAGCCCAGGCGCCCTCACAGCCACCTCCACCCGTTCATAACGTACGGCCAGCTGAGACATCACCGCCTCTCACGGCACCCCAACCAGTGCGCGCACCCGTAGCCCCGCCCCCAGTTTCTACGCCGAGCATGCCAGGGGGTATGCCGGGTATGTGGGCCCCCGAAATGGGAATTCGATTCGGATCCGCTGCTGCCCCTCCGAATGGTCCTCCCAGCACAGGGGCTGGACCAGCCCCGAGTCAGCCCACTCGGGCTCCTCAGTCGGGAACCTGGGATCCCAGCAAAGGATTGCGCTTTTCTTGATTAGTTGTGATAAAAAACCGTTCATATCTTTTTTTGTAGATCCCGCCTTCGCACATAGCTCTGGAGTTTTGTTAGATGTTTGTCTTGTTTTGGTCATGATTTACGGCGCGAGCAATGAGTGATGTGTGAGCATAGCATTGACTACGTATATAATGTCTGCATTGCAGACGACCCATGGGAATGGATTATCTATGTGATTGGTGTTGGTCGAAACTCGGCTCCAATATACATTGTCATTATTATATCCAAATAATTTAACGTATGGTACATATAATCGTATAAACCACATCCGTAACAGTAATAGTCGAATAGAGAACAAAAACACATAACTTGAATCGTCATGATATATGGCACAATATGAGCATGACGGATGAACTGGACAAAGCAAATATTGCTGTCCAAAATCATTGAACAGGAAAGTCAATGCGTGGCAAGGTGAAACATCAACCGAATTCAACTCACTGGTGCACCGCAGGAACAGGAAGCCACATGAGCATTTAGCGAGCTCCAGCCTTCACAGAGATACCCACAGGGTCAGTGGCATGCTGGGGTTTGCCATTGGGCAATGCAACGCCATTCAACGAAGCATGGCGATTAATCCCCTCAACAGCCTTGAGTTCATCTTGCTCAATTTCAGACTCATCCGGCTCGGAGCGATCGTCCTTTTTCTCCCCGGTCGCGAGGAACTTGAAAGCGCTGCGCAACAGATAATACAACCAAAAGAGATTGAGAGCCTGCAGTAAGGCCAGCAATGCGAACGTGATGATGTTTGAGATCCAGCACTTGTACTGTTGAGTCTCCCAGTTGAGCTCGTAGGGCCCGACGGTTCGGAACTCGGTCAGAAGGGAGCAAAGGATCCGAAGATTGAGAACATGACGGAGATAGACCCACGTGCCGATCGAGATTGCGTAGAAGGGTATCATTATGTCCGGGGCTATGTAATGGAGAGATTTTGAGAGCTGAGGAAATTGTCAATAGGAGCTTTGGATACTGTGGGTTGCGTCGAAACCAGAAGAATTGGGTTAGGAAGGAGAGATGCGACATACGGCAAGGAAGAAATCACTGATATCATGCGTGATATAAACAGCAATGCCCATATAGGTAAAGTGAAAGCGATAGCTGAGCGCAATAAGCGCTAAAGTCACAATATGATGCGCAACAAGCTCCATGAAGTCCTTCCGGCGCTTCTCCATTCCCAGCAGCATAACGATAGCCTGCTGCGCCCAATAAGCCGCCTCAAACAAGTAGTAAAACTTGAACTCAGCCGCATGGGTCCTATGCGGGAAGAGTTCGTACATGCCCCGGGTGTTGAAGTACCAAACCGGCGTGTGGCGCATGACATACAACCCCGCGGGACCGAGGAATCCAAAGTAGATCGCCGTGTACATCTGTTCCATGAAGCGGGTTTGTTTCCCCCGCGACTTGATGCGCGAGGCTGCTAGCGGGCGGAGAATTTCCTGCATGATGAATTCGCGCGTGAAGGATAGCACAATCACGTAGAACGACACGAATGCTATGTCCCACAGACCCTTTCCATACTGTATGGGGACATTTGGGTCGCTATTCAGGGATTCCTCTTTGTAGGAGAGGAATATGAAATGAGCGATTGGGTTTGACTCGGTCGGGTTGAGCGCGTATAGTGAGAGGAAGGCTAGCACGAGACCTAGTGGAATCGTCCACGTGTGCTTACGCGCGAAATCCTTGCAGCGATCAAGAACAGAGCCCCGTTCTTTGGGCTTTGGGGTTGAATTTGATGGGCTTGTATGACCATTTCCAATTTTCTTGGTCTGTGAGACATTGATATTCCTGTGCCTAAGGGTGTCTTTCATTGGCGTTTGGTTGGTCCCGTTCAGGGGTAATGAACGGCGGGTCATGTTTAATAACTTGGAGGTGAAGTTGAGATGAAGAATAGAAATTAAGATATATGTCAACCAACAGAATATAATCTTAGAAAAGAAGCTAGTCAAGCTGATAGTTAACCCGGAAGCTCTTTTTCTCCAATAAGCGTTGAATTCTCCTCATTCGGCTAGCTGGTCGTATTCGGGTTCCTCTTTCATAGTGGAACTTGGTATAGAGTACGGAGTAAACCAGAAGCATTTAGCTATTTATGAAACACTACGGAATTGACTCTTCACGACTGTCTAACTGTCCACTTTATATATGGGGCTCCAGATTGCTCTTTTTCAGATCGTCAGTGCTCTTAAAATGAACTCAGTTCACTATAGTTAATACTGGGCTGATCGTAGTCTAGCGATATAGTAGTCACTGGTCACAATATCGTCGATGAATGCTCCAAGTCGTCGTCTTCCACATCGAGTCGGAGGAGCCATAGGGAACCATTATCATCTATTTCCTGATTTAACCGGGGATAAATGCAATTAAATGTTAGGTTGCCACGGAGCTTAGAGGAAGCCCCCAATAGTGGTTTGATCTCTCTAAGATTACCAATATTTCCTACACTGACGCGGTGGTCCAATGTATGTCTGAATTGTGGACTATCTATCATGGAGGTGGAGTGTGGTTGATCGATGAACAACACCTCATCGCTTGGTCCAAGGGACAGCAGGGGTGAACTCGAAAAACATGATATGTCACTTGAAGCGGGGCCTGTGCCACGAGTGGTCATACGACTATCAATTGGTAGTTATCTTACGCATGCCAGCCCAAATGTGGCTACGCACAGCAGATGCGTGAGTGCCTTCGCCGAAGAAATGCCGAGACAAACCCAAGCTAGATAAGCATGTCTAACATCGCCTCTAGTTGACTGGTGTACCCCTTGTACGCTGTTTAGACTAGTCTTTCGATTTTCATTCACTACCAATTGGAAAGCACAATCAGTCAGTCATGGGTGAGAACCAAGCCGAACTGAACCAGTGTCAGTCGTCTCGTATCGAGGTAGCCCGATCGACAAATAGGAGCCCACCCTATTTCTGGAGTGAGGAAGTGACCCAGGAGCCCAGCTTCCCAATCCATAGGGGATATGCAGAGGCACGCAGCATCATCGAAGACGGCAAATTGGAGCTACTCAAGGATCTTTCAAACACTGCCATATGTTATATTACACGACTATTTGAGTGTCTCGACTCACCCAAGGAAGGATTGCAGAAAGGTCTTGTGGAGATGCATCTCTCCGAGGATCTGCAGAAATGGCGAAGGGAGCAGCATAATTCTGGGCACATCTTGCCTAGCAAAGGTCATGGCCTCGCACCAGCCCCGGAGAAGGTGCTCCAGCTTTTTGGTGCAGAGAAATGGCCGAAAGCACTGACCACCACCAACGCCTTATTCGGGTGCGGAGTGACGAACATGTTGATCGGGGCATATGATGCTGAGACTCTCTACTCCAATTGTTGTGTCGACATGGCTTTCTACTATGAGCACCGTTACCACAAAGTTTTTCCAGAGTTCGAAAATGCGATAAAGTTGGCGATTAGTGATCAACATGCATTGCATACTCCAGGCGGTGCCGAAAGGAGGGCCGCTGTCGAGATTGGAATGAAGTACATAAAGAAGAAAGTGGCTCTAGAGGAGGCACACAAATCAGAATTGGGTAATAGAGTGGCCACGCTGAACAGACGAGAGGCTCAAATCATATGCACCCTCGAAAGCAGCTTGGTGGGTATGGCCAAAGAGGCTATGGTGCGTGGTTTTGATTGCGCTGCAGTAATGAGCGACCTGGTTTTCAGCAACCCCGGGACAGACGTGATCGATGTGGGCTCTGATTTATTTAATTCGGAGTTGCTGAACTCCTTTCTGAACACGGCCGACATGTCTTCGACAGGTATAGTCACAGAGGATGCGCTACGGAGGGTGTATGACGCATACGCCCATACGGGCTCCAGGATGCTATGTGAACGCTGGATGGAACCGATGGCGCGCATGTGCGCGGCACTGTTCACATGGCATATCCTGAACGACAGACACCGATTCCTGCGACGTGCTCTACTTGGCTACTCCAAGGCGCGGAAGACGGCAACAGAGCCGCGCGAGGCAGATTTTGACGAAGCTTTCAACCCTGAGCTGCGCACTACTGGCTTCAGCAGACCGTTGCAGGGGGCTTGTAACGGTGGCGACCCCTGTGATCAAGTAGAGGGGCACCTGCGCGCACACGATGAAAGTGATGGCTTACTGGCTGAACTCTGGCTGTGTCTCAGTACTAAACCAATGCAATATGTGACCAAGGGTGCTGTGGATCCGGAAATAGAGGATGGCTTGTCCGAGAGACTAGACTCCAGCTAGCTATGGGGCGGGCGTACTCATTCGGGTTCGTGGATGAGATGGCATGGCTGATTGCCCATGCTGGACATCATGCCTGGCAGGTGAATCGACTGTATGAAGCTGCTATGTATGGCAGTCTCCTAGACGATGGTGGCCTGCGGGGTAAGCTTGATAGGTAAGATGGCCGTCAACTGTGGGTGGGGTTGTGATGAAGTTCAATTCTGCAAGGAAGATTCTAAAGGTTTTTAGGGGCTCAGTTTGTATTCCTCCGTATACATCATATGTACACAGATCACAATATTAGATTTATTTTTTTAGGAGACTACTTATACCATCCATGGTGTGTATTGGCTTTGTACGCTGATCCGATAGACACGCGACTTCGGGATGGAAATTTGGAAAGATGGTGTATTGATACGTATTTCAGTAATATTGGTATTATTGACTGAGCAAGATGATTGGCTCCTGAAGATATCATATCAATCTCTCAATCTCCCTATCGACCTGCGATAGAGCATCGTACTTAATTTACCTATTGGCCCTTGCTGGGTAATCTCCTCTACTATCATAGCGGTCCATTCTGCCGCTTGTACGATAGTTTCGCTTTGACGTCATCTCTCCAGAAATGTCTGACATTTTGTGCCGACCACGGAGCTAGTAAACAATAAGGGGGGAACTACGCTTGCGAGGAGACACGATGCTCGCAGAACCAAGAAAACGACATAATGGCCAACCCCAAGCCTGCGAGCCATGTCGCAAGGCCAAGATTCGCTGCGACCATGAAAGTCCGAAGTGTTCACGTTGTGCCCTGCGCAACTTGAACTGCATATATCACCCTGCTCCTATGACTAAACGCCGCCCTCCGACCTCCCACACACCCATACACTTCGACCCAACTCTGCCAGCGGACTTACTGACGACTCAAAATGTCTCCAGCACCTTCCATATTCCTAGTGAATCTTCGGTCGGGGTAGCAATCTCCCTCCCTCCTGCGGAGCCGAGCCCCGCTGCGAGTTCGGGGGTAACAGCCCGTTCGAGCGCATCAAAACGGAACATGTTATTTCAAGAGCAGCTGGGCCAACACGAGACAACTCGCTTCTCAGCTGTCTTTGTTGAAAACCAAGATAGCTTTGGCGCAGTGATGGTTGATGCCACGAACTCCGACTACCACGAGTTAGGCCGAGAGCCTGATGTAATGGCCAGGTCTCGCGTGGATTTGGCTGTTAGAACACTGCTCAACTTCCCCTCTGTTCGTACATGTGATATGCTTCTGACAGGAATTCATGATTTATATGATGTATGGCTGTCACCAACCATGATCCAGCAATGCTTGAAACAAGTATGGACGGAATACGCCAGTGAGCTAGGTGAGCCCCGGACGCGGGAATCAGTGTTGAGAGTGGCGAATGATCTGTTTATCAACCAGAAAAGGCCTCATTCAACACCTGACTGCGAATACGCAACCAATTCTGACCATGCTTCCTGGATAAACTGGTTTGGCGGGCCTCATCTACGATGGGAAATGATCGGGATCCTCTTCAGCTGGGCTGGAATTGCATTCAGATGCAGACAAGAGTGGGACCCAGTATTTGATCTACCCGAGCAGCATGGACGGAATCGCAACACTGCGGCAGAGAAGATGAGAGAGTGTGCTGCTGCCTGTGTAAGGCTTTGCGAAGGGAACTTTGAAATCAGTGATACCATGGTTATTTGTATGAAGAATAGCACCAGACTACAAAGCATCATCATCAGTGATGAGAGTGAGTCACAAAACATCAGGACCAACCCAGGCATTATAGACTAGAGCTCATTTCATGATAGGTGACCGCGTACGAGTCGACTATGGGACTGTCCGCAGTGCTTTTATAAGTGCAGGTTTGCATCGCCTCGCTCCCTCGAAAGAAATTACACCATTCTCTCAACACCGAGCATCACTCGCTTCGTCGATGTATTACCACGACAAATGTCACAGTTTGTTCAATGCGCGACCACCTATGCTCAGTAGGCATTACTGTCAATGTCCTCTTCCACTCGATTTATGCGAGGAAGATGTATACGGGGGCCGAGAGCGACTCACTGTGGCCATTGCACAGCTTGACTCTAATGGCTGGAACACCAATGGTCACATATACACAACAACCTGGCTTCGAGCACTGACGATGCTTAGTCCTATCCGGGAAGGAATCTTGGAACTAACTCTTAGTCTCAATTCGAATTTTACGAAACCACAGGTAGAGTGCGTTATTTGGAAGCAGCATTGCATACATCTAGCTAACTTCAACCATTTTGCAGAGACCTACAAGTCCAGCTGGGGAAAATAGTTGCTTCATATCCTCCGCACATTCAGTACCAGGGGAACTCTAAATTGCACGCCCAGTCAAGCTCACGATTCCATGAACGGAGCGCCCAGGAAACTTATATTATCACCCGCATACAACTTGATGTATTGCAATGCCATTTCCTTCTCCAGCGTCTACTTGTATCGCGGCAATTCAGTAGTGGCCAAGACTTGTTCGATATCGCCCAAGAGACAATGTCTGTTATCCTGTCTCTCTGGCTTAACCGCGATCAGCTACATGAATTTCACCATGCCTTTGACTGGATTGTAAGTTGATGGCGAGCTTAGCCAACTACCTGGATCGACAGTACAATAAAAACTAATGTTCATCCAGGCGGTATCATACGGAATGCCCTGCGCTGGAATTTTATGTGTTGAGCTTCTCCGAGCAAGTAATCTAGTACCACCTGCGACCGAAAGCGAGCCTTCATCCACAATCCGCGCTCACGACTGTGTTAGATTCTCGCGGTCGGAAGTCGTCCAAAACCTGGTTATGTTCAGAGCCTTACTTGACTGGATACGGCCTACGGATAACAATGCGCAACTTAGCAAGAAGTTCAAGACGGTTTTACAGAGAATCATTGACGCTGTATTTGATTCTTTGGGGTCGTCGTGTGGCATGCAGACACAAGAGATGCCGAGCGAACAGCAGTCCCAGAGACACTATGGTCCACAAGACCAGCAGCCCCCAGGACAGAATCTACCTGCTGCGACGGGCAGAGAAACTGATATTGATCCTGAAATGAATGCATTCAATGATATGGATTGGCTGAACACGGTTGATTGGACTCAGAATGGTTGGCTTGAACAAAGTAATCCACCTTTTCCGTATTAAGCAATCTCACCGGACCGACATTTCCACAACCTCTCGGTCTTGAATACACCACAAGGCCATTTTACCATGTCTTGCTAATTGGCTCAACTGATAAGATATCCCGGAGTCAGTTCGGAGTGGTTTTCGAACTGTCGGAGTGGGTTACCCCGAGCGCAACAGGAGTTGCAGGCTCATCGCCTTGGAAGTGACTGAATTCGAAATCGCACATGTCCACGCCATAAAATCCTTGGTCGAAAAGGAGAAAATCGACTGTGACTTTTGCCTCACAAGGTCTGTCGATTTATGGACCAACGAGAAAAGAGCTCAGAAGGCTACAGATACGTACGGCACGTTGATTTCTCGTAACCTTGACTACATGAAGGATGTCTTCTTTGTGTTTGGCAAGGATGCAGAAGGTATCTCGGATGTCGAAGGCGCAAAGGCGCCAAAGCTTGCGCTTCTTTCACGGCAGCAATCCTGTGGCCGTACGAATTGATTCTCCATATAACTGCCTCAATTCTTGAGACTAGGCTAGTCAATCTTCAGTCTCATACCCCGGCGACGTCCGTCAGTCGGCAACCTTCGGGCAGCTTTATCGTTATATGCAACGGCATTTCAATGGCTGGGAAGATAGCGGGGCCCAAGTGGATAAAGTTTGGACGGGAGTCATGGGGTACAGCTGGGATTCTCAGCCTCACATCGGCGCCGTACCTGGGGAGGATGGCCAGTTTGTACTTGCGGGCTTCAATGGTCATGGCATGCCTCAAGCGCCTTTCTCTGCGCTTGGGGTTGCTGGTTCAGAATGGCATCGGGTTTGAAGATACTGGTATTCCGAGATTGTTCGAAACGACAAAGAGGTTGGAATCGGCAAGGAACGGTCCCTTTGGGGGTGGTATACTCGGCGTCAAAAGATGAGATTATTTATTGAACATTGAAGAACCAAAGGCGGAATTACGCAGCTGGGCTGTTCCGATTGCTACATATCTAGTTGTCTTGTATCCCTAGCCAAGGCTTCTTTCCCCAGGATGTATCGTGGTGTACTTGATTACCTCTAAACGGTCCTATTAGTGACCTCGGTTAATTTTACTCTACTGCACCGAGTCCGTAATATGAGCATCACAAAAGCGTCTCCGCCCGTCCCGCATCTAGTATAAGTATCATAGTCAAGTCAAGTAGGGAGACTACCCAGTTAGGCTCTACGGGTTGACTCTGTATGTCTTAAGATATCGGATGATGCGTATTTTCATAGAAGAAATATCAGTCCTACCATCATTTGCTAGTACACAGTGCTCCCCTAGATCACGGAAGGCCTTGTCGACCTGCTCCGCTGCGCCAGATGCATGAAAGATACGCGCGATAATTGCATGGACCTTAAGAAGCTCGGGGCGCGAAAGATCGTATCTTTTTGTCATACCAATTGAATGTAACGGTTCAAGGGAGGTGTAGTCGTAGTCTTGGGCGGTAGTTTGAATGCGGTATTTGGGCTGGGAGGTCTCTTCGAACGAAAAATGAAACCGGCCAAAGGACCGATGTAGCTAACTCGATATGGTCATGGCATTGGTAGTATCGTTGATGTTCTCCCGGTTGAAGTTTATCGCCTGGATAGTTGGAAAATGGCGGATAAGGTTTGTCCAGATGATGTGTTTTGCATAGCCTTCAGACTCCGTGCTCCACGATGCAAGGGAAAACGGGATGATATACACGCAGTCTGTGTATGTTGAAGGGCCGGTGTTGCTTGCATCAAGAGAATCTTCATCAAAAAGTCCAATCACAACACATCTGCTACCATCACGGGCAAAGCACTCTGTCTTAAGGTGAGCTTCTCTTCGCATAGGTTAAGAATGTCTGAATATCTATAACATAGAATAAATGCCTTCTAAAGGGAATAGGAGTTTTAAAGTAAATTGAATCTGAAGTGAGCCTGAAGTGAACCTGAAGTGAACCTGAAGTGAACCTGCAGTGAACCTGCAGTGAATCTGAAATGAATCTGAAGTGAATCTGAAGGACATTGCCAATCGGAATCCTGAGCCTGAGGCAAAGTCAAAGAAAGGCCTTCGCAGGCTGAATATCTTATGGAACTGAGGGTGGATTAGAGTATCTATGAGATCTGTTGACTCGCCAGTGGAGTTGCCAGATTAGTCCTTAGCATCACGTTTACTTGACTCTGAGTGGTACATTATAATAATAACTGGATAACTATATTCTAATTGGTTCTATGTGTTCAGTTTCTAGATCTTGATCTATAGAGTGCATGTAATGAGAGGTTGTTTGTATACTAATCAGTATATTGTAGAATGAAAGTGTGAATTGGCCAAGTCTCTAAACAAGAAAGATTGAATGCAAAGATCTCCTAACCCCCTTTATTGCTCTGTGTACCAATGCATTCGGGATCAATTTCCTGGAATGTCCTCAACCCTTGCATTTTGGCGCATACAGCAAGAAACAGCGATCTCATGGATGCTACTTGAAGAATCGACCCGATCAAATTTAATAGCCAAGGTTCATTCAGGTCCCTGCATACTCGGTTCTCGGCACAGGGTCTGTACTAGAATATCATGTGTGGAATCAACGTAACCCCCAAGGTGAGCTCCGAGACGGAGTGGGTCTAGTCCGAAGATAGCTGATTACCGGATACGGTTAGTCCCGGAGTGCCCACACCGCCACTCTTCACGCATCTTGGAGCTCACATGTACGGAGTGAACCTCATTCCAATCTTGATTCGAGGAGCGGAATGGATCAAGGGCGGGATATAGATTATCGGATAGCGCTGTGCCGCAATCAGACAACGATTTCAATGGACATGGCTTGGTGAACCGCTTTGAATAAATGACCGTGATACGGCCCATATCAAAATGCATCCCGAGAATCCTTTCAGTCTGCCAGTTCAATTTCATTCAATCATCAGCCAAAATATTATACCCACAACATGATTTGCCCCAAGAAGCACGCTGTTTTCGACGTGGTCGGTACATGCGTGTCATTCGACTACTTTCTTGACACCATCGAACATGTTCTCGGCCCACGACTGCGAGCACATGAAGTATCCGCCAAAATATTCGGGTTCGCATGGATGCAAGCTGCGGAGCTCGAGTCTCTTATGCTCCACATGTCCAATCGGAACGTGCCATACAAGGAAGTCTTCAAGGCGCTCTTTTACCGCGTCTTATATATGTCCGGGATCGAAAACCCGAGGTCGTTCGCCACCGACGAGGAGAGAAACATATGTCACGATGCGTATTCGAAGCTGGAACTCCGCCCAGACTGCCGCGCCATGATGGAAAAATTGAGGAATAATGGTTTCACCATCTGGTGCTTGACCACGGGCGACACAGAACGAGTCGGCGGCTACTTCAAGCGCGCCGGGTTTGAAATGCCCGCCGAGAACCTTGTCAGTTGTCATCAGTTTATGAAGTATGAATCCGCATTGGAGTCACCGCTTGCTATGGTCAAGCCTTCGATGGGGTCTTACCAGCCCATGCTGGAGAAGTTCTCTGCTGAAGATCAAAAGTGGTTCGTGGCGGCGCATATGTGGGATGTGAGCGCGGCTGTTAAAGCTGGGTAGGTTTTGCTGTTTCTGAAATGGAATAAGAAAGATCTCCTGGCTAACTTATCTCGAAATAATCAGCTTCCGTGGTGCTTACTGCTCAATCTATGAGAAGGAATCGTGCATTGAGATCTTCGATACTAAGATGGATGTCATGGCCGACAATTTGCTCGAAGTGGCCGACAAGATGATTGATGTGGCATGAAGTTCTCTGCCTGTACTTCAAAAATTCAAGAAACGGGAGTTGCTCCGTATATCAATAGCTCAGCACAAATAATTACATCTAATGGTTTCACGCGGGGAGCGGTTCTTCCTGTAATTTTCATAATATCATATTTTCTCGTACGATGACAAGTTTCAACAAATAATAATTGAGCTAAAGTACTAACCAACACGAGAAATGTTGAAAGTCGTCTAGGTGTATTTACAAAATTGGGTTGTATATATTTCGTAGATCTTCGATTCAAACCCTTCAGAAGGCTTGGATATAAAGCACAAAGAGCCATGACACGGCGTGTTGTATAACTAACTGTAACTGGAAAAGTATGAAAATATGAAAATATCAAACAAAGGAGTACTTGTTGAGCTGCGGTCAATTCTCTCCTATATACTTCTTTCTTTCTCCCTGATTATCTATAGACTGAATCTGACTCCTGAACTACGTCTTCCCTCTTCTCTGTCGATGACAACACGCGATCAAAACCATTTCCCAGTCGGACAATTGCATCATCGACAATCTGACAGTGGAGGACTATTCTTCCACCGAACAATTTACCTCCTTCCTCTCTACCCACGCAGATAGTTCTGTCCACCGTGATACCGCTATGAGGTAAATCCAGACAACCCATGTTTGTGTCGACTGGCCGGCTGACCGCTCACCGCGATCAACCTACATCTTCTCAATAAACTTAGCCTTCTTGTGCGTTTCTCGCAGTCTACCACCTTCGCCATGAGGTCTATTTCCGAAATTATCCTCCACCGCCACACGGGCCGCCGAGGACATGATCCCAGCCTGTCGAATACCTCCGCCAATAGGGACGGTCAGCCCTTTCGACAAGCACATCTGGGCTATATCAAAGTAGTCCAGATAATCAACCAATGAGCCTGGTCCAGCAGCGACAGTCTCCCAAATCCTTGCGCCGTCAAGGTGCATTTTGATATTGTTGGCGCGAGCGAATGCAGAGATCCGACGGACCTCCTCTAAAGGAGTAATGACGCCAGCGAGAGTATTTTCCAGCGAGATCACGCGGATAGGCGCAATGTGGATGTTGTCACGAGTATCCACGTCTCGTTGAATATCTTCGAAAGTCAGATACTGTCCGTTCGCTGGGATGCACGGCTGCATATAGTGCCAGAACAGAGATGAGCAGCCGCCGGCCTCTGACTGAATATGATATTGGTAATGACAGAGAACGGCGTGGGGCGGTTGTGTCAACAGCGATCGGAGGAATCTGGTTTCCCATTGTGTCCGACATGACTAGGAGACTGTCTTCCTTGTCTGTGAGGTTGGCCCTGAATTTCTCGAAGTCATTCGTTATCGAATCTTCTTGGTATACGTCGTCCATCAATCGCCTTCAGCATAGATAAGGTTGGCGTCGTGATAGTGTCTGTGCGGAAGTCGTAGGCCGCAGGTCCGGCACCACACCAGGAGCAGACACTTCCATCTGCTCAGCTGGTTGGAAACTTGAACGTCACTGATAGAGAATTAGGAATTACGTGGATTGAAGTTGTTTGGAAGGGTTTGGTTGAGTTTGAGAAGACGGGTAAGAGGACATTATAAGAACATGGAGTATAATTATCAGATCGAAGTGATGCTCACTATTCTGGCGCTGAACAGTAATTAATTCATGGAGTAATTCCTTATCAGATCAATATTTATTGAGTACATACATATACACAGGTAGCGTGTCTTCTCCGCTATCCTCTCAGCCCCGGTCTTCTGGAGAACTCCGGAGCTCACTTCGTGGCCCAGACTTCGGACTTGACGGTGTGGATCAGGTCCACAAATATTTCTCAAACTTGAGTCCGGTGCCGGACTGGGGCCATCCTTAACCTTGGAAGCCAGTCTCCATTTTGTCAACCAAGGTTGGACGGTGAGTCGCTGACTTGGTTGCTCTCTTTCTTTACTGAGGATGTTGAGCAAGTCAGAGCGCTCAAGTCACGGAGTTACTCAGGGGATCCTCATCGAACAAGCTGGGGATGACCTCGGGACCTCAGGGCGATTCGATTACGTAACAGGGGTGGGTATGACTCAGCGAGTAAAAAGCGGCAAGGGATGAGCACTGAAATGGATGGAAGGCTAAGCCTTAATAAGCTCTTAGGTGATCGTTTTGTGCGGAACTAGCTGGTTTGGCGAGATATCGTTCACATATTCATATATTGTATACGGATTTGGAAGACGTTATGAATGAAACAAAGCATCTCAAATCATAGCAAATCCCGTGTTAGTCTCAATTGAAATACGGGAAAGCCAAGAGATTATCAGGCATTTTCCATTACATATACTATCTCAAGTCAGTTAGAGGGCGTATAAAAAAGTGTACCCCGTACAACATACACTGTTGAACACACACACACACACACACACACACACACACACACAACCCGGTTTATTTTCGGTAGAAATAGGGTACCGGAGAAAATATGTAAGAGGTATTCGGTGTAACTCATTGTGGATCCAAAAAAATTAAGCTCATCGAGTTACAATGTGGGCTTTTACCTAATGCCTCCGTGGTGGTTGGAGTCTATTGGAGTAAATGACCGTTTTTTCTTCCTATGATCCTTTTTTATTATATGAATTCCTGTATCCCACAACACTTTGTCTTACCTAAATGATTTCGAATCCTGGGGCGGAGTTAGTATGGTGAAATTATCTTATTTAGCAGTACACCCAGGGGTGAAATCTTCACTTCGCCATTTCCACCCTCCATAATCCTGATCTCCCATCAATTAAACACATATTTTCTTTTTAAAAAAAATGGTTCACCAAATCCACATTGCCGTCCTAGACGTCGATATCCCAGCCCGTAAGCTATACGAGGCTAGAGGACTCTGCAGTGCCCACTTCCGAACCATCCTTCGCGAGACCGCATCACGCCTGAACGAGACCTTGTTCTCCGAGAAAGAGCAACTCGAAGTCAAGATCACGGGATATGATATCCGGGGAGGCCATTATCCCGACCTATACAAGCTCCGCGGCCATGCAGACGAGAACCAAATACCCGTGCAATCCCCAGTGGACGCAGTCTTGATCACCGGCGGTACGCCCGGCGTATATGAAATGGACCACTCACCATGGATGCAAGAGCTGGAGAAATTCGTCAAAACAGTGTTCAACCAATACCCACAAGTGCGTATTCTCGGCACCTGTTTCGGTCACCAACTTATTTCCCACGCTCTCGTCCGCAACGTGGAAGACCCCGTCCGCGATGTCTGGGTTGAGCAATGCCCTCTCGGCCGTGAGGTCGGAATTCATACCGTCCAATTGGAAAATGCCTTTGTGAAGGCGTTCCCAGGTGCACTTGGTGATCTTCCCGAGGGACGCTTGCGCATTCAGATGTTCCATGGCGATCGCGTGATGGCGGTTGAGAAGGGAACTGCTGTTACACTTAGCGACTCGCCGCCGGTTTCGCTGCCTGCGCCGTGGATTAGTATTGGAAGTACGCCCATCTGCCCTATCCAGGGACTTTACCACCCCGGCAGAGTGTTGTCCGTCCAGGGTCATTACGAAATGGATGTCTTTGGCTTGACTAAGATGTGCTTGGAATCTGCACCTGTCATGGGATGGAAGGAATCAAAGTTGGCCTTGTTCTTGGAACAAGTTGGTGATGATCGCGACGGATGTCAGGATGATTCCAAGGCCTTTGCCTCTGCTGTGGTGTCTTTCTTGGCTGGTTTTGAACAATGACATGTGGTGGATGAAAGATCAAAAATAAAGAGATTTTGTGCTTCCACCACTTACGTTATGAAGATGGATAGAATGAAAGTGCAGAGGAATAAAATACACATTATGCAAAAGGCTGATATATGCAACAATAAGCAGTGTAGAGCTTGGAACCGCGAATTCCTCTCAAATGTGCAATATACAGCGTTAACCCTGTTAGGAGAGGTCTACGTGGTGGACTTCGAAGTGCATAATGCAATGTGAGGTTGATTGTTGAGTTGAGAGTTACAGAGAGACTAATAAATCAGACAAATCCTTTTCAAACCGTCGAAACAGGCAGGTGGCGAGGGCATTTTTGGGGCTTCGGATGGCTACTTTTTCAAGAATGTCAAAGCCGCGAGGCACAATGTATCCACCCCTGTTTTCATCGTTGGCTGGATCACTGGTGCAAACAGAGCCGAGTGATTCCCAGGAATTTCGTCCATGGGAGTTTCGTTTCTGAGGCCCTTATCCCAGAGCTCTGGGTCAATTCCCCCAATGAACCAAAAGGAGCAAGGAAGCCCCTGAGAAGTACCCAACGTGGAGAAATCCTCACTAACGTTGGTCCTTGGGGTATCATCATCAAAGTCCTCGAAATGGTCTCGGAAAGATGCAGCCAGTTGGGAGGCGAGCTGTTTATCGTTGTCAGTGGGCGGAAACCGTCTTGTTGGTGTGAACACTGGGGGTTTCGGCGATCCACTAGCGAGGCACTCAGCCTCAACGATGCGCCGGATAGCAGACATTATTTTCTCCCGAGTCTCCAATTTGACAGTTCTAAGGTCAACTCCAATTTCCGCACGGTCCGCAATGATATTTTCTGTCTCTCCTGCCTGCAAGCTCCCGACCGTCACGACACCAAGATCAGTCGGGTCCACCTCTCTACTGACAATGCTTTGAAGTCTAACAACAACATGTGCAGCAAGGAGCACGGGATCTATCGTCTGCTGCGGCTGTGATCCATGACCACCGCGGCCGAAGAGAGTGATCTTCATGCTATCGGCGGCAGCCATGATCGTGCCTGGTCGGGAACCAACACTTCCCGCTCGCATTCGCATGACGTGCTGACCAAACACATAATCAGGCATGGGGATTTTGGAATACAGTCCATCGTCCACCATGGCCTGAGCACCTCCGCCCCTTTCTTCGTTCGGCTGGAAGAGTACGATTAAAGTCCCGCTCCACGCATTCTGTGACCGGGCCAGAAGTTCGGCTGATGCGAGAAGGCACGTGATATGCATGTCATGGCCACATGCATGCATCACCGGCTTTTCATTGCCATCCGCATCAGACATAGTCACTGAACTCGCGTAGGGGAGCCCGGTGAGTTCCTTGACTGGAAGCGCGTCCATGTCGGCCCGAAGAAGAACTGTCTTTCCAGGACCATTTTTGAGAATGCCTACAAGCCCGTAGCCTCCGATATTTGTGTGGATATCATAGGCCTCGAGCTTTGACAAGTGCGAGGCGATCGTTTCAGAGGTGACCTTCTCTTGTAACGAAAGCTCGGGATGCGTATGGAAATGCTTGTAGAGAGTTTCATACGGGGTCAAGTCCACAGCGGCGTGGGCTAGTAAGTCTGACAAGCTTTGTTGAGCCATTTCATATATAGGTGATGATATGTTAGGGAATTGGGGAATTGGGGAACTGCGACAACATATATATGTAGGCGATGAGGGGGAACTGTTGGGGTTTTGGAGAGATGAGACCGGGGGAGATTGGTCAGCCTATCGGCTATTTCCTCTACTGGGCGGGGCTACTATGTATATGTTGTACTCCAACATTTCTTTGTTTGATTGAAAAACGCAAAGTCTCGGAGAAAGCTTAAAACGGATTTCAATTCTCATTGACGATACCTATTAAATTGGACTAATAAATCCACAATCATCAAAATGAACTAAATATGTCACATCAGATGACGAGCGTTAAGCGGAGCAAAAAATCAGTATTCTAAAGGAGTGGTGCAAAAATAGCCCACAACAGACCAATTAAGCCAATATGAGGGATATTTAAGGATTCTGCCGCATTGAAGGCTGGGGAAGATGTAGACGTATTTGCCGAATCAGTCCGAGTTCCGGAACTCGAGCCTGATGGACTACCAGAACCATTGTCAGATGTGTTTTCACCGCTAGCCCCTGTGCCCTGAGTGCTCGTCATGGTCTTGATTGAACCGGGCAGTGAGGTTGTAACAAGCGAGCCAGATACTGATGTTGTCGCAATCGATCCAGGTACTGAGCTTGTCACGAGGGAGCCGGACGTTGAGATTGTGACAACATATCCAGAGAAAGAAGTTGTGACAAGTGAAGCAGACACCGAGGTTGTCATAACTGAGCCGGAAGCCGTGGTTGTGATGAGAGTGACTGGTTGGGTTGTCTCGACTGCACTAGATGTTTCTTCGGTCTCAGTGGTAGCAGTGCTTTCTTCACTAGACTGAGTGGTGCTTGTCGCTTCGGCGCTCGTTGTTTCAGTGCCGGTAGCTTCAATACTGCTAGCCTCGGTGGTGGTAGCATCAGTGGTACTAGCTTCAGTGGTGCTGGTTTCAGTGGTGCTGGTTTCAGTGGTGCTGGCTTCAGTGGTGCTAGCTTCAGTGGTGCTAGCTTCAGTGCTGGTAGCCAGAGTACTAGTGATTGTGGCTCCTGTCGAAGCCTCCGTGCTGGTAGTAGTGGTGGTCTGGGTACTCGTCGCCGTAGTTTCCATCTCAGTGCTAGTGGCACTTTGTGTTGTTGTGGACGTGACCTTGTCGGAGCAGTAATTCAACCACTGTGCAAATGTCGGCAACATTATTGATGAATATTGATCGGACCCAGAATCGTCGTTGTTGGTAATGCATTCCTCGCAAACACCCAAGTTTTCCATGAATGCTGAATCACTCTTGCAAATCTCGTCGGTCTTTCCAAGCGATTGCGGCTCATATGCAGCATCGCTACACTCATTATAACAAAGCCCGGGAAGGTCAGGTAGGTCGATTCTTTTGACCTTTTGCCCGATAGCGGAATCCCACAAGGACATGCCGCGCTTGCCGTAGGCTGCAACTTCATCTTCCGGGAAGTCAAAGATGGAGTAACTGAGACCGAAGTCCTCCGGGTTGAGATTGTAATAGATTTTCGAGACATTGTACTGCATAGTTGGATGGACGTCGAAAGGCGGAGCCACAATGCAGTCTGAAGGGTCGCAAATGTATCCGGGGTCAGGAAGACCTGCTTCAATGCTACATTCCGAACGGTCACCTGTATGACGAGGCTTGCAGAGATAACCCGGTGCGCAGCCCCAGGTATAGTCATCTGGCAACGGAGCGGTAGGTGTGTATGTTGGGTTTCTGATAAGACTGGAGCATACGGAGGCGGATACCGTCGTAGTACTGCTAGAATCACCCACAGTCATAGTTGTCCCTGGAAGTGTTGTTCCCGGTAGAGTGACGGTGGTATTTGGGATAGTGACAGTTGAGCCACCGGTGGTAGTCACTGCTGTGGTTGTTAAGGTTGTCGTCTCTGGAAGAGTTGTAGTCGAATCATCAATAGTCGTCGATGTTGTTGGTGTGGTTGTCTCAGATACACTGGAGGTAGTTGTGACAGGCTCGCTTGAGGTGGTTGTGATAGGCACGCTCGAGGTAGTTGTAACAGGCACAGTGGAGGTGGTTGTTACTGGCTCGCTCGAGGTAGTTGTGATAGGCTCGCTCGAGGTAGTTGTCACAGGCTCGCTTGAGGTAGTTGTGATAGGCACGCTCGAAGTGGTTGTCACCGGCTCGCTTGAGGTTGTTGTGATAGGCACGCTCGAGGTAGTTGTGATAGGCTCGCTCGAGGTAGTTGTCACAGGCTCGCTTGAGGTAGTTGTGATAGGCACGCTCGAAGTGGTTGTCACCGGCTCGCTCGAGGTAGTTGTAATAGGCTCGCTCGAGGTTGTTGTGATAGGCTCGCTCGAGGTTGTTATCACCGGCACAGTGGAGGTGGTTGTGATAGGTTCGCTTGAGGTAGTTGTGATAGGCACGCTTGAGGTAGTTGTGATAGGCACGCTCGAAGTGGTTGTCACCGGCTCGCTTGAGGTTGTTGTGATAGGCACGCTTGAGGTAGTTGTGATAGGCACGCTCGAAGTGGTTGTCACCGGCTCGCTTGAGGTAGTTGTGATAGGCACGCTCGAAGTGGTTGTCACCGGCTCGCTCGAGGTTGTTATCACCGGCACAGTGGAGGTGGTTGTGATAGGTTCGCTCGAGGTAGTTGTGATGGGCTCGCTCGAGGTAGTTGTAATAGGCATAGTGGAGGTGGTTGTCACAGGCACGCTCGAGGTAATCGGCGTGCTAGTTAAGTCATCTGTGCATGAACACGATGTGATGGTAAAAATCTCGGTTGTGTACTCCGTCCGCGTTTTGGGAGCTTCATTTGCGGGCAGTGTTATGGCGGCGTTTGCAGCAACACTGAGCGGTCCAATGCCAACATCGGCAGAAGCACTAATGGCAGGCGCATTTCGACAACCACTAATTGTCTTGGTAGTAGTCTCGGTGATAGTAATTGCAGTGGCACCTGGGGAGCTATTTCCAGTCTGCGTGGAAGTGTCGGTGATAGTTTCAGCAGCGCAAGAATCGCCATCACCGAGCCAAAGTGTAACCCCGACTCCTACTGTGACAGTTGATCCATCCTCTTGTTCTGCCGACAGCGCAGGGGATTTGTTGATTACACTGCTATGACTTGATGTCACCAAGCCAAAAGTTGTCGCCAACAGTGATAACCAAGCGATCGCGTCCTTCATCTTTGCCTGTCTGTAGAAGAAAGAAATCCTTCCGAGGACAGCAAGGTAAACAAGCTATACATGGGAAACAAAGAAAATAAATCGAGGGAATTGGAGGGCATCCAATACATCCGCACGGTCCCCGTCGCTCAAAGAACGCCCAATAGTTCGAGGCTCAAAATTCCCCTCCGATGGGCATCAGCTCAGGCAACGAACGTAGCATAGCCCCCCCACCTCGAACTCCGAGTACGAGGAAAATGCATAATACTCTTAAACATTTGCAGTTATGTATCGACTGCATCGACCATCCAACATAATTGGAGCTAGTCCAAGCACACAATGGGGCTCTGTCAGTTGATTCGGCTGTATTTCCCGTAGCTGCATGATTCTAACTATGCAGCCATACAATCAGGGTAATGATCAGAACGGTCAGACCATAAGCTGAGCGGGCATATATTACACCGTCATCTATTCATTCTTGTTTCGCCTTGGCTATCTCGTATTCAGGGCGGGGGACAACTCACAACAAAGAAGATCAACAAAGCCGCATCTCAAGTTCCGAGTAACCCCGCCCCCTCGCATTTTCGCATTTGGATGTCAGCAGTAAATCGGGGGATTCCAGAAATTCTTAGCAAGACTTGTCATTTTCAAATTATGACAACTCAGTGATGAGCTCAACAGCTGTTTCTTCGATTAAAAAATGCGGTTTCTTTTGGGGACGGTGCTGACGCTGCTAGTCGTGATAGACTATGCAGTGGCCGCATGTAGCCTATCTCAGTCTCAAATTAATGTTTCTATGTGCAACTGGCAAGGCCTACGTGGTAAACACTCCTGGTGTAATTCCTTTCACATATATCTTTTTACTGACACTAATAGCCAATATCCTGCGCGACACAATCTTCCTCGATGGCGGGCAGCGATGGTATCAGAAGTATGAGGTTCTCCATGGTCAACACATATTTCCACTAACAATTGCAGAGGATTTGATGACGGTTGTGTCGATTACCAACGTGATGACAGTATGCGTGGCCAATAGGTGTTGATATATGTACATGGCTAACTAGCAGCAGGTTTGAAATCCACCATCTATTATCTGAACCTCACCACTTCTTTCAACACAAAATCCGATTTCATGGATCTACTCGGCAACGCGTCCATCGTCGGCGGTGTTTCTAGCATAGCTCCGAATTACGTTGACGGCACGATGCTTGCCAACGACAACGAGTTATACCTCTATGGGTTGGCATCCCTCGTCTCTCCCTCTCTCCCTCTAATAAAACACTAATTCTGAGATCCGTTATCGCAGAGGCATGCTTCGTAATACTGATAATTCCGACCCTCCGTCTGCTAATGAAGTCCTGTCGTACGCCGCGTACCAGTATGGCCCCCATATAAGTTTATGGGAGCCCAACTGGAAGCAAGAACGCCTCTCTCCTGATGTTACACGATATATCACCAATGGCGCTGGTGCATCAGCCCCAAGGGAGAATCTAGGTTTTTACTTCAGTGGGATGCGTGCGCCGGACTGGGGCGACTTCAATTTAAACGAGCTTCAATCCAACCAAACGGCCAACACGTTAATCACCCTGGACATGTCGCAGATGAGCCACGGGAATTGGACAAACACCACACTACCAAGCTATGTTCCTGCTCGTTCCAATGCGGAACTGGTATGGGTCCCTGTATCCGAGTCCGGGGTTTTAGTAGCTATTGGTGGAGTGGTTGAACCCATTCAATTTTTCAAGAACAAATCAAACTCATCACGGACAGATGAGAGCAAAAGGATTAGCCCGACGTTCATGGAGACGGTCTCCGTCTTCGATGTGGGGAGTGGAACCTGGTATCTACAGAAAACGACGGGTGTTATACCGCCGCAGTTGACGGAGTTCTGCTCTGTTCTTGCTAGTGCGGCTGATGGGTCATCTCATAATATCTACATATATGGAGGATACGATGGTCTCAACATTAGTGCCAATCCATCTGACGACGTTTATATATTGTCCCTGCCTTCCTTCAAGTGGGTCAAGGCATACAAAGGCACAAACACACACAGTCGCAGCGGTCACCGATGCATCAAAGTATATCCTGATCAAATGCTAGCGGTTGGAGGACAACATATCGATCCAACTCGTTGCCTGGAGGGTGGTGTCATTGTCAACTTTAACCTCAATACGCTGAGCTTTGAGGATACATATGATCCCACAAATTGGAGTAAGTATAAAGTGCCGGGTGTTGTGACAAAAGTGATAGGGGGCAAGTGAGTGTATAACCGGCAGCACAGAGAGTAAATCATTATAGCTGACGACTTATTAGCTCTGACGGAGATGCAAGCACAACTGCCCCAGCATCATGGACCAACAGCTCTCTGGAGGGAATTTTCGACAAGAAGTATAGGAAGACAATCGAGACATATTGGCCGTACGATAGCGCAAGCGGCAATTCCAGCACAAGTTCCTCCCAAGACCACAATGGGGGTGGCTTCCCTGGCTGGGCTGGTGGAGTAATCGGTGCAGTCTTAGCTCTGCTCATCATTGCGATCCTTGCCGGACTCTGGTTCTATCGCCGACGTCAGCGTCAACGCAAGTCTGCTGAAGCTGAATCCGAGGCCGCAGACGCTGAACCCAAAAACCGCCCTCCAGAATGGATGTATGCGAGCGGCCCAGCCTCCCCTGGACCCGGGCCAGTATCTTCATCGACGGGTATGGAGACGGTGGAGACAGTGCGAACTACACACACCACGGCAACGCAGCCGTCGACAGCACAGCAATCCATAACCCAGCCATCGATCACACAGGCTTCAACTTTGCCGGACTCCCTTGTCTCTCCCGCAACCCCTGGAACAGTGGAATCAGGAGGGGATGCGCTATATGAGATGCATGGTATGTTGATGACTTTCTTTCTTTCTTTAATCCCCGAGGGAAAATAGATACTGCAGAGTACTAACCTTGACATCCACACAGATTCATCACCTGCTGAGCTTCCCACACCATTCAATACCGCATACCTCGCTCACGACGGGACTCCTAAGTCTCTTAAGCCCGAATCTGAACGTGGGCTCAAACCAGATCCGAGACGAGGGTCCCAGTCTCCTGTCTCACCGCAGACTCCTAGTGAGACTGGGTCAGAGTACTCATATCCAACGGGTCACAACCGGCGCCCATCTTCACTATCATTAACGTCGCCAATGTCGATTGAAAACGTGATGAGCGGTCGGTCGTCACATTTTTATGAATCTTTTGATACTCTGCATACCCCGCGAGCAGCTCATCGATCTGAGGTTTCGCAGTTGACTGATCATTTGGAAGACAAGGGGCGGAAAGGAGGTAGTGAGACGATTCGGGAGGATGAATAGGGTACAGTTCTTTAATGAGGTAAATACTGTTTTGGTGTGTAGAATAGGGAGACTAATCAGTTCGGCCATGGTGAATCTTGTCATAATTCATAATAGTCAAAGTAATTTTGATGTAGCTACTAGGGACTAGAGAGAGAGAGAATAAATGTAATATCTACTAAATCTACATCTTACTATGATAATATGATGAAACGGATTATATAGGTTGGTATATGTGTAAAATACAGCCATTAATCAGCTACTTTGTACATGCCAATATTGTATTTGTGCATAGAAATGGGCTTTTGATGGGCCTTGACGGACGCCCATTAATGGGCTGTGGGTTGGGCCGTGGGCCGGGTGCTTGGGCCCATCTGTGGGCTGTTGAGGGGTCTATACACGGTAGTTCCAGCCAAAGTGTCCAAGGATCTTGGTATCTCAAAATGCTTGTTGATAGCCAAACTTCGTGGAGAACCGGGTTCCCACGGCGAGTTAAGTATATTGACTGTTGCTCGCTCGGCAATCAATTGGGGTTCACGATCTAGAAGGATATGTGAGCCTGGAACCATAAACACCTCAATACACTGCCAATTCTATACCTTCTTTCGTCAAAGATTGAGACTTAAAAATAGCCTGAATATCCCCATCCCCAGAAGATCTATCTCCCTTGTCTCGCATATCCCATCTTCGTTTTGATCGCGGCGGTATAGATTCTTTCACGGGCTTCTCGGCGCCCGAGTACTTCCCCCGGGATGCGATACCGGCCCCCCAACGCAATCGAATCTCGTATCCCCCGCAAGTGAGGCCCCGGGAACTGCATTTTCGGCAGGCTGGACGCATTTCATCGCACTGGATCCTTTTTTTCTTACATGTCCAGCATCCCTTGAAAGAGCGATGACGGTGGGAGATGTCCTTTTCTTTGTCGGTGGAAGGCATGTTACTGAGAGGAATATAGCGAAGGAGGACAAGGATAAGAAGCCTTAAGAAGTACAACAATTCACTCATATATACTCATGCGAGCGTGGTGCTGTACAGATCCCCGCACTGTGATTGGCTGAATAAAGATCTCAGTGAGCGAAATAATACATTCTAACCTCCTATAGGGAGTACTTCCCAGTTCATTAACAAGGGGATATTTTACTATGTACTCCATAACTGCCTCACACTCGTGCAAAAGTCCATAGGATTTTAATCTGAGCTTACCGTTTGGGAAGGTCCATGCAGATCCTGTGATGTGTAGTCCAGACGGGAACTCACTGCGAAGGGGCCCAAGGTGAAATGCCTGATTTTCCAGGCCTTATACCTTAAGGTGCCTTGATGTGCCTGAATTCTGCCTCATTTTAGACTGGCAGAAATCAAAATATCTCAATTACTATAACAGAGATTATATAATATTCTGCCAGTCAGAAGATTTTCTTCAATACCATTGTAAATCAAAATCTCTAGCTTTTAATGATTGTTTGCAAAAGGTTAGATCATGTATGGGATGCACTTGATCAAGGTATAATTGATAGTTTGATCCGATCTGTAACTAGGAGATTGCTTGCCACGCGTAAAGCAAAGGGCTATTATATTAAATATTAGATGCATTAAATTCTCTGGGTTTTTCTCTATCTAATAATACTAAAATTATTATAGTTATCATCATCAACTATATATATCTGTAGTCGACGATTTTGCTTCCATTTTGCCGTCCGCTGATTGGCTGTTGGCTCTGCTTCCATTTTGCTTCCACCCCATCAAAAATCGTCCGTTTGCACTCTTTTTCGCTTTTCTCCCTCCACGTCTGTTCGATCGGCTTGAAAACTTGCATATACCTTTATTGGATTGTCTATTTGTACTCTGCCAATTTTCGGCATTTTCCGACCGTGCGTTGTCGTAGTATATATATTCTGATTTTCTTTACCCCGGGGGGCGCTCCCGCTCCGGCGTTCGTTCGGGGGTTCGCCCCCAGGACTACCCCTATATATTACCCCACTAAGTCTCTATCTTATTAAGTCTATCTTATTAGTAATTTAGTAGTATTTAACTAAGTTATATTCAATTATATTTAAACGTATTTTACTTTTATTTAATTATATTTAACCGTATTTTAGTCGTATTTAGCTATATTTAATTATATTTAATAGTACTTTAGTCGTATTTCGTCGTATTTAACTATATTTAAGTTATATTTATCGTATTGTAAAGGATAAAGGTCCTTTCAAAAGGTGAAATAGGAATGTGAAACGGCACATATATTCATAGAAGGTTTTGACACGTGTGTGAAACGTATGGGGTTCGTCACCTGATCGGTGCCGAACCTTGGCACGCACATTTCCTTTATATCTTGGGTCCCCCGGGACCCCTAGATTCTAGCAAGAATTAGTCTTAGCATATATAGATCAATATACCTTGTTCCCTCTCCCGAGCTAGCGTATCTTACCCGGTTGATAGGCTATATACCTAAAATAGTATAATCTTATAATTCTAATTCTTCTTCTTTAACTGCCTAAGATATAATAACTCCCCTAACTACCCGTAGTAGCTCGCGTAATAATACCGAAGCGCTAGAGTATCCTACCTAAACCGGTAGCGAATCGGGAATGCTCCTACCCGCGGGAGAATAAGAGGAAATACTAACTTAGGATCTTTCTAAATAAACCGCCGAACTAGTTATAGAAAGCTCTCGCCTCGCCGACGAAACCCTTCGAAGCCTAGAAGAAAAGGTTACGGAGTATAAAGCTAGAGTGTGATCCCAGAGGCCCCTTTATTGTAACTAAATCAGCATCATTGGTTCCTGTGCCTGTCCGTACGGGACATGCCAAGACCCGAACCTGCGTTTCCGGGTGCTATGGGCACCCGTACTTGATGGTATTTAGACATTAGTATTCCCAATATAATAGAAACCATGCGATACTTCACGAATCTCAAGAGTAGTATTATAAGAACGTATTCTTATAGCCTAAAGATTAATCGTTAAGAACAAAGAACGACTTTAGGGTTTCGGATAACTAAAAAAAAGGTCCTAAAACCGTAACGATTCGTCTTTAGATAGCGAATTATCTTAAAAAAGAGAGATTGAAAGGGATATTAGCCGATTCGAATAGAATTTCGGTATAAAATAGAGAGAGGACTAGCTAAATAACCTCGAAGCGCTTTTTAAAAGAGCCCCGAAAAAATACGTCTTAAGAACCTAAAAAATCCTTATAGCTATTAATTACTTATATACCTCCTATAAAGGAAAGTAGACGTCTTATAAATAAAAATACTCTAAAGAGGTATTAGATTAAGATACGTTTAGAGAATAGATAAAAATACTCCTAAGAAATTCCTATAATATCGTTACCGATATTCTTATTTAATTCTAAGAGGCTATAATAAAGCTATATTAGGACCCCTATAATTTTAAAAACTACCTCGAATCGCCAAAGAATTATCTCCTTGTCAGCACTTCAGCAGATAATATATTATAGTCTATAGTGGACTATAATATTTCCAGTGGGGAAGTAGTATTAGGTAAGCTTATATCTTATATAATCAGGTTATATAAGATATAACAAGGGATATACTTAGATAGTGAAGCAATTGGAGTCGGTGAATACGTTGATTGTTATTAATCTTAATTAATATGTTGGCTAGTAGGGAGAGTTTGTTACGAGCCAGGTCTTTGTGAGAAAGAGTGCATTTAACTAGAAAAGCAAAGATGGGGAGAAAAGAAGAAGAAGTGCAGAGAGATCCAGAGGGGTTTAAATAGCTGGATCTCTGCAAACAAAGAAACAACCTCTTTCCCAAATAGGCTTAGTAGGTATGCCTAATTAGGCATAGTAGCACTTTATCAAATAAAGGAAGATAACAAACAAAGAACGTAGGCAAACAAAGAAAGATAAGAACGATCTTGACATATGATAGTATATGATACTTGTCGATCGTAATATAACCCCGACGAAAGAACCAATCTAGTCTCTAGATTTATAAAGGCTATCTAGAGTCTTAAGGACTATTAGATCTATCCGATTATTATTGTAGTGGTTGTAGGTATTCTAAGAAGTTATCGAGTTCGAATATATATTAGCGGAAGAAGTATAACCGGTAAGCTATTAAATAACGCTAATAAACTCCGTATAAGTACGTAGAAGGTTTAGCTACTAGGGAAAACGGCTTCGAAGTAAGGTTTAAAGACCTTTTCGGAAAGTAGAGATCTTAATAATATCGGGCTAATCTTATCCTTTTACTTCGTAAAGAACGCGCTCGAACTTAGTGATATAGGTAGCGAGTAATTCTTCGGGAGACTGCTTAATCGAAAGGAGGCGATCCTCTACTTCTTAAATCTTATTTAGATTATTATAGACGCGGCGAAGTAAGTCGAGAATTATATAGTAATCGTAAATACTAGAGTCGCGAGCGGACGTAAGCTAGGGAAGAACTATTGCCTAAACTTAGCTTATAAGATTAAGGTAGACGTAGTAAAACTAAGCTATAGAATCTCCTATAGCGGGTCCGTCGATAGCGAGCTTAGTATAGATTGCGGTATCCTATATATCGTATTTAAAAGCTTAACCGGTAAACTTCTCTAGATCGGGAAGGGAAGACTTAAGACGTTTCGACGAAGAAGGGGGATTAGAAGCGGCGGAAGCGGTAGCTAACTAAAAAGCTTAGAAGGTAGCCTACTAAGTTTCGAGGGTAGAAATGGTAACGGTAGCCTACTAGAGAGCTTACTAGAGAACCTAAATTTTATCTCTAAGATTGTCGATTGTAGAGGAGAATTCGGCGCGGAGCTCTACGTAAAGCTATTAAAAGGCTTATTAATCTATTTTAACGAGGATTAGAGGAAAGGAAGCGAGGTAAAGAAATTGTACTAGTACCTATACCTAAGAAGTAGAGAAGGAAGAAAAGATCCGGGGAGGATATCCGGGGGTAGAGTTAAAATTAATAAAGGAGGGAAATAAATAGCCTCTCGCTATAGCTTACTATCTAAACCCGGAGTAGCCTAGTCTCTTTACAAACGTACCGAAGTTACGTTACTAGACTATCCGAAAAGA